AATATTTATATGTTTCATAAACTTATTTTATAAGAAATTACACCATTTTAGAAATTGTTCAAACACTGAATATATAAACTCTTTTATATCTTTTAATGTAACTTAGAGTCTAGAGGTATCATCTAAATTAGAGAAAGGAGTTTTTTTAATAAGGAATTTACACAAAGGTCTACTTTGACTTCCACCTCTTCCTGATCCCATGTCTTGAAAGAAGTGTCCTCTACAAAAATTTGAATTTTTCTATGAAAATTTGTATATGACAATTAATTGTCATATACAAATTTTAAATTGCAAAAATTTAATTTTTGTAGAGGACAGAAGTATGACCAGACTGGGCTAAGATGAGAAAAAATATTCTTTGTGTCTCAGAGTAAGACCCCAGTGACCAGCAATAAAACCTATTACCTGGTAGATCAAATAATTAGAAGATGCATTAATAAGACATTTATAGAAGACACTCAGGTTTTATTGCCCATTCTAAAATCGGTAGGACCATTGTATTGAGATGAGAGAGTGTAAGTTAATTTGGATAATGCTCATAAGAAAAACTAGATGTACTGTGAGCGATGAGCTCGAGCTCACTAAATGATACCCCCGCCTCCCACATGGTTATAACTGGTGAAAAAGTCCATGTTTTCCTGTGGCCGGGAAACCCAAAATATGTGTCGAATCAAAAAGTAAAATAGTAGGTGCACAATGGCAATATGTAATAAAGATTCTGTGAAAGTTCCATTAAAATTCATTCAGCGGTATGAGAGGAGTTGCGGATAAGAGATGGGTACCCTAAAGCGTAACAGACAGACGGACGGACAGTCGGACGGACGGACGGAATTAACGATTACTATATACCCTGCCGCTTTTCAAGCGGGGGTATAAAAATATATTTTTTTCATTTACTGGATCATTTGACCTTGTATGTTGTGTACAAAATTGCTGAAAATTTAGCCCTGATCAGTATAATTATTTTCATTCTAATTAGATTGAATTATTTTTTCATTCAAATATCCTAAATTAGCTAAAAAAAGATACACCAGTAGATATAATTGACCAGGATAAGACATAACCTAACATATTTGTTGTGTTTTTACTTTAAAAGTATGTGCAGGGAAAGCTATGTAGAAATAATTATATTTTAGGAAGAAATTTTGATTAAGAAAAACGATCCCCCAGCTTTAAGATAAAAGATTGATTTATTTGCCCTTTTGTCAAAAAAAATATACCGGCATATTTTTCTCAGGATGGTCTATGCAGGAGAAATCCTCCCACAGGTCTTAAGAACAACCTATTGTACGTTATAGCTTGTAACTATCATTTCAAACATTACGTGTATCAACAAAAATGATTAAAAACAAATTAAATGTAACATTCATATGGAATGCCATATACGACAGCCAACTGCTTACTGCCAACTGTCAGCTGCTTACTGCCAACTGCTGACTGCTTACTGCCAACTGTCAGCTGCTCACTGCCAACTGCTACACAAACTTGAATAAATTTTATTTTTATATTGATATTTATGTAAATGTTCATAAAAACAGAACAAAACTAGAGGTACTGTGAGCGATGAGCTCACTAAATGATACCCCCCGCCTCCCATATGGTTATAACTGGTGAAAAAGTCCATGTTTTCCTGTGGCCGGGAAACTCAAAATATGTGTCGGATCAAAAAGTAAAATAGGAGGTGCACAATGGCAATATGTAATAAAGATTCTGTGAAAGTTTCATCAAATTTCATTCAGTGGTATTAGAGGAGTTGCGGATAAGAGATGGGTACCCCAAAGCGTAACAGACGGACGGACGGACGGACGGACAGACGGACGGACGGACGGACGGACGGACGTACAGACGGACGGACGGAATTAACGATTACTATATACCCTCCCACTTTTCAAGCGGGGGGTATAACAAACAATCAAAAAACAAGCGCGGATCTAGGACATTTTTCCAAGAGGGTCACTGGTAAAAAAAATCAAGCCGAGAATATTTTTGACAAGAAAATAAAATGTATAGTCCTTTCCTAAATGTGAAACTTATTTGGGCCGGGGAGAGGGGGGTTATTATGCGTCGTACCTTCATATCTATGACAATTTTTTATACCAACTTAACACGAATTTGCGTTTTCAGGGGGGTGGGGTGGGGGTTCTAAGGTCCCTTTTAGATGATTTAATTTAGACATTAAATAACTTTTGGTTGGTTTAGTTTGTGCATTAAATAACTATACACATTTCAAAGGGATGATCTGGACCCCTCTCTCTAGATCTATGCATGTAAAACATATCTTATTTGTAAAAACAAAGAGATATATTAAATGTTTGATCGGCGGTTTCTAAGTGGAGGGTCCAAGGCCAGTTTTAGTTCGTTTAGTTTATAAATATATTAACCCATGACTGTACAGATTTTAAATCCCCCCCCCCCCAAGATCTATGCATGTGAAACTTTATAACACACAGAGGTATAAATCTTTTATTTGAGGAAATTTCTAACTATAATCTATATAGGAAAATGTAAATTTATTTTCAAAACATCTCTCTCTTATTTTCTTTTATTTTTCTCTCTTCAAAGGTTTTGTTGTCTCCGGGGGAGGGGGGTTACGTCTTCACAGATTAAAGGCAGAAAATAGTCATTTTATTACCTATTTCAATTAAGAAAACAAATACACATGTACAAAAAATAAACAGTATACTTTATCAATCGCATATATTGAATATTTCGTAAGATAAAACATATTTGTCATTTAATCAATTTAATTTTACCAGGATGACCCCCTTGGAAAAATGTCATGGATCCGCGCCTTTCTTTTCTTCTTTTTGAAAATTTACATAAATATCAATATAAATATAAAATTTGTTCAAATATGTGTGGCAGTTGGCAGTTAGCAGCTGACAGTTGGCAGTAAGCAGTTGGCTGTCGTATATGGCATTCCATACATTCACAAGTTTTTATGTTTGTAAGAGAGAATTTTTTGACACATGTTCATGATTTAAAATTTTTTATATGTACATCTATTTTTTCTTAAGGGTCCTCCACAACCTTAAAGCATGCTTACTCTTCCCGTGAGTGTGATTGTAAAACTTAGCTGCAGAACAGTAGCTCCCTGCAGTGCTTGAAATATTTGGACATTTAACGCAGAGCTACAGAATCTGATATACAAGCGTTGTCAAACCTTTCGAGTTACATCTCATTTTTTTTTTATTTATTCAGTTTGTTTTGATTGATTACATATTTTTATGTTTGCTTTTTTTTTTGGTGGGGGGTGGCTCACGAGGGTATTATTTCTTGTATATTATGTTTTTCCTTGCTTTAGAATTATAATGATGTCTGATATTTTACAAAATATTTTTCTCCTATTTTTAGACAAGAGTATGATCTTTTTGAAAATTAATTTGTCGCACGATCTCTAACGTCGAAATGGAAATGTTTTAAGCCGACATTCCAAAACAATATATGAGCGAGCCACAGATCAAAGCGTTGTAAAAAAAAAATAATAAAAAAAACTTTCAATTATGCCGCAGCACCTTTTTTGACGTTCACTTTGGGAATTAAGTCCGCTTTAAAATTGATATCTGATTTCACTCCTACATGTACTCCTGGTAATTTCTTTTACATATTAATGGTGGAAACCATGCAGCCCCTTCTTTATATGTCCGATTTTTTCCAAGCAGAGAGCGACGGTTCTACAGCTGTTAAAGTTAAGATGAATAATAGAACATTTTAGATCAGAATTCCTTATTCATGTTTTCTGTCATTTTTTTTTAAAATAGAGATGCATTTACACATTAAATGAGCGATTGTGGAAATGGTCAGGCGACACATTTTCTCGGCATATAGCATTAAGCATTATTCAATTTATTTGACTGCCTCTGCAAATGTTCAAGCGCGGGTTACTTGTTTTTATAAAGACATAAAATGTACCTAGCTATCATATCTTTTATACACGCATAATAATCCTTCATAACCGCAGAAACTATGAGGGGCAAAGACCTGAGCGTGCCTCCGATGTTATTTGGTTTATATATTATTTAACTAATTTTTTACATGTTTAGAAAACAATGGTCTTATCAATGGCTCTGTACAGGCATACGTCTACGGAAATAATTTAGTCTACAATGTATTAAAAAAATAATTTACACCATCTATAGCTAAGTACTCTATTTTTTTTAGCACCCATTGTTAATTTTAATTACCTATTTATTAATTAGTATATTAAATTAATTCATTCATGTATTATATTTATGTTCCTCAAAATGAAAAATATAGACGTGCTGCCCCCCCCCCCCCCAATGCTTAAATTATTTATTATCCTTCACATAGTCATACATGCCTGATTTCTACATGTAAATATATGTTTGGGTGATGCATACTATGCTAGGCAAGTTACTTTTAATCAATATTTCCAAAATAAATTTAAAGATAAAGGTTATCTGTTTTAAAAATTGTTATTTTATATCTTTTTTTTTTTTTTGTTTATTTCATTAAAATTATAGTTATGTAAAATGACGTCACAATTATTCCAGAAAAAAAATTCATCACCGGTAACGTTTCATAGATTACGCGAGATCTCGCGAGAACTTAGAGAGTCTGTTCATCTGCCCTTGTGACATATTTATAGTATATGTATAGTGATTAAATATACATAGTAAACATTTACATTACCGTTGCATAGAAAGTACAAAAAAAAAACTAATTTAAACAAACTAAATTTAATTTTATTCCTAACGCATGGGCCGAGCAGTCTTCGGTATGGGCCGAGGTGTCAATGATTTTGAGCCGACCTGTCAGGGCCGAGGTGTCAACCAGCATGGGCCGAGGTGTCGTTGGGCCGAGTAGTCTGTCTACCCTTATGGATACAGATCATTAGATCTTTTGGATTTTTTTTTTTTTTAAATTCGAACCCAATCTGGGCCACAAAGTAACAATACTTACTGATTTGAAGGAGACGTATAAGCATATATAGTAATTAATACAAAAAACTATAATCTTTATGCTGACAGTGTAAGGGATCTTTTGCATCGGGATCGGGATACCAAAAGAAAAATCGGAAACAAAAGGGAAATTTTATTTTTGTTTTGTCAACAACGCATTTCATCACAAAATTATAATGGATATGCAAAAACCTTTCAAGGAGAGAAGATCATTAAGTGAGTAAAGTAAACTCAATAAATTAAGTTTTAGATTAACGTGACAAACTGATGAGGTCAAGCAAGATCAGAAATGGTAGGATCGATAGATCATGGTGATAGATGACTCATAAATACATGCATTATAAATTTATTTTTGGTATAGTACACTGCAGTATTATTTTTTATATATCTTTTTAATTTACCGTGTATTAACAATAACATCTGGATTGTAGGACATTAAACACTGTTACTAAAAATAGAAGACTGCATGTGTACATTTAGATCTACACATGAAGCTTATAAAAACAAATTGACTGCAATATTCAGTGGGACATTTCCCTTGAACTCAAGATATAAAGTAAAAAAAGCTGAAAGAAGTGTACATGTTATGAATTCAAACAAGTATACATACTTTGAGATAATAACATGTACATGTATATGCCATGGTTACTCATTTTAACTGACAAATGATAAGCCTTATCATTTGATCATGTTTAAACGATATTTTTATGTTTTTGAATTTCAGCCCAGAGGATTAAAGATGTTGAATCAATTCGCACACAGCATTCAGACAAAATACCGGTATGTTGACCATGTTGACAGCATGAAATGATAATAAATTAAACAGTATTTTCCATGGTACAGAGGCAAAACTTTTCCCATAACAACATAAATATTTGGGCTTCAATTCTATAAAACATAACTGCTTGCTTTTTTTCCAAATGGTATCTTTCTTCTTTTATAGCCCTCAAATTCAATAAGTATACATTAAAACATTTAGATAAAGACAACTTCCTGTCACAATTCACAGCTGTGCAAGGGCCACAAATTCTACATTATAAATTTCTATATGTAAACTTAGAAAAAATCATGTTTAAGAGTTTTTTGATGGAAGCTAGATCATGTGGGGAAGAAAGACAGTGAGGAATTTGAAATATGGAACTTATAATGAATTAAACATGTTAAATATACATTGTCTGAAGAAAATATAATAGTGTAAAAGTTATAACCATAAAAGTTAACAATTTTTATTTATATATACAGGTAATCATAGAACGATATCATGGAGAAAAATATCTACCAATGCTTGACAAAACCAAATTCCTGGTGCCAGATAACGTCAATATGAGTGAACTACTCAAAATTATAAGGTAAGTTGAGAGTTGTTTATATCATTGACTCATTTATTTCTTAATTTCACGAATATGTTTTATTATTCTTTCAATTTACCATCAAATAAATATGCAGTAACCTTACTTAGTTTACTTTGTATGTAAAATTATTTGCAGACATAAAAAAATAAATCCTTAGAGTTTTCGATTTTGACAATGAAAGCAAGTATCTTTACTTTAAATTACTGTAAAATCACATATTTTCGTGAAGTCAAATTTTCGTGGTTTGAAAACAACGAGAATTAATCCACCATGAAAATTTGTGATTTCACAATAATTTTTTTGTATGTCATGACCCATCAACACTATAGTGGGACCATAATTAGAAATTCCATGTTTTACTTTGGATTATAATGAAAGGACCCCCCCCCCCCCCGAAACAATGCTAAAAACATTGCTCAAATATTTTTGCAAAAGATTTTAAACTTGGTTTTGGACTCAAAAAAGATTGTAACAAAGCCAGTGAATATTCCAGATTATTCAAAACCTATTATAAATCTTAATAAAGTGTAAAAGTTCTACTGTCTACTATACATCATCAGTAAAAACACATAATTCAAAGAAATATTTAAATTGTAGAAAAAACTTAAAAAAAAAAAAATGCTGTTTAAAAAGGAGCTAATTTTCATGTAGACTTACATTCAACCAAATGAGCTACAACCACCTTGCAGCTTTTGCTTTGCAGGAAACTTAAAACCTCTTTTTCTACTTTTCTCTTTTTTTATTCCCACAGGAGACGGCTACAGTTGCATCCCTCTCAGGCCTTCTACCTGATCGTCAACAACCGTAACATGGTCAGTAACACCACTCCCATTGCTGAAGTGTACGAACAAGAAAAAGATGAAGATGGATTTCTGTACATTGTGTATGCATCTCAGGAGACATTTGGTTGAGTTCCTTTAGGATGTGTTCTGTTGAGATAAACTGTATTTAACGAAATTGAAAAGAAATTTGGCACTTCAATTTGATGTACTGTTAACCAACTCTTATTTGCTACATCTTTTATTTGTGCATCTTCAGTTTGAAATCCATCCGCAACTACTAAGGTAATGTTTGTGACTGAAAAATTCTATACTAATACATTGGTGAAGAACTAGTTCACATTAAGACTGAAATATTTGCAAATGAAAAAGCTTTGCAAAACATGTTTTTTTTGTTTCGCACATGAATGAAAGTTGGTGTACAGTATCATTGTTTGAAGCAAAATAAGAATGAGAAAAATATGAGTTAGTGATATGAAGCATTGAAAATATGGTGGAAAAAATCAGGCTTCTTGTGATTTTTCATAGATAATGATTGAAAAATTTCTGTCTCTAGAAACTTATAATCTGCATTTAAATTTTTCTCTATATTTTTGGAGAAGACTTAAGACTATCTAAACAAGAAAAGATCGAAATGTGAATAGAAAATACAGGGTTAGTGGATAAAAACATGATGAATATTTTGATGGATAAGACCTGAGGAATTCCATAAAAATGACTGAAACGTTAGCTTAGGATAATCAGCAGAATACATCCTTACAATGCTTAACATGTACCCAAGTGGAGAAAACCTCTGTTGTTCACAGTAAATTAATACATGTCTGATGACATAGAAATTTGGAAAATTTAAAACCATTTTATGAGGTTTATAGGTAGATGGAACTCAGTATTTAGCAATTTTGGTTATTGATCGATCCACTAAATACATGTCTTTCATATTTATGTATGTATTTTTATTGCCGTCATCTTCAACCACTTGTAGTGAAAACTTTGTTAATTAATAGTACTGTATACTATACATTCTAACACATTATACGGAATGTATACGTCATAGTAAAGAATGTATACTTCTTTTTAGTACAAAAGAAGTCTGTGTATATGTGATATGTATGATAAGATAATATTGCAGCTCTATGCTTTATGTGAGATTTTAACCACGTTTTCTTTTTTTTCTTTGTTGTTAAATTTACAATTGTTATGATGAAAGAAATTAGCTAGTCTAATACTTTTATGTGCATTGTAGTTTGTACTTACGGTAGGATTCTTCTCTAGTTTCACGGTAGGATTCTTCTCTAGTTTCTGACTAGATGAAATATTCAAAGTATATTTGCTTTTATCCCATGTTTAACCCTTTAACCCGTTGATATCGTTTTCGTATCACACAGTTGTGACATCACAATGGATTTTGCGTTAGTGATGAAGTAAAATGAAGTGGAGTCCTATATAAAAACAGTGTTAAACATTGTTTGTGGTGTAAAAAACATGGGATAAAAAGAATCTCACATGATTTGTAGTTAGATATGATTTTTATCCAACTCCTTGTGTGTTTTTATCCCCTCGCCAAGGCTCGGGGATAAAAACCAAACAACTCGTTGGATAAAAATCATATGTCATATATTTAGGTGAAAGAGATTTAATTAAAAGACCATATTTTTCTTTCGTCATCACGATTGTACAACTTTAAATACAAATGGTAAACTGCGGTTGAAAACTAGCAAGAACTATATTTTTGGCGGAATGATGGCATATGAAAATATCTCATTTTCTGCCTCTCAAAATTTTTATAGAACAATGAATTTAGTTATAATTCTTACACAATCAGACTTGAAAATAATTTCAAATGTTAGTTAAATTGATAGTAATGAACTACAATTTCAAAATATATCAAATAAATATTTTTTTCAAGCAAACTAGAACTGTGTTAGCTAGGTTTTAAAAGCTTCCAATCTAAGTACAGATTTGAGCCAAAAATCTGCAAAAAGTGTTTTTTCTCTCTTAGTAAACGATCAAAACGTTTAGTTTTTGTATCATTTTGTACCTTTATGAGACAACTTTACCATATGTAAAAATAAGATAAATTTAAATATAGGAAGCATATGAAAATAAGTTATATATCCTAAAAATTTAAGAAAAGCAGGGAAAATTCGTATTAGCATGTACACTCTCTCAGAGCACAGGTGTTCCAATGTTTATTTAGCGTCTCTTTAAGTGTCTACCAGCAATCAACACTGAATAAACACGGAGTGAAAAAATTTTTTACATAATTTTTACATCGTAATACTGAGACCTGGCGTTTTTGGACAACGTAATAAACGGTTCTTTTTTGTATAGATTGTTAAGAAATGGTTTTGTGCTTTGAATTTACAACGTAATAAGCGTTCTATCTTATAAAACCCTCACCGTAATAGCGGGTCTCTACTTTATCCATTTTATTTAAATTATTTATGTCAATTTGGTCATATCATCTTATAAGCCCTATATGGTAGTATTTTTTTATGCAAAAAGAAAAACATTCAATCTTTTGAAATACAAGTAGGGATCACATGATTGACAACAGTATTTTTTCATTCTTAATGTCCATGGAAAAGGTAATGACCTTGACCTGACCTTGCCTGTAATATAAAACGGTCAAACTCAATCTAATTAATATACCATCACTTAGTGATGTTGTCTTCTTGATTCTGTGAAAATTTCATTAATTTTTAAATACAAGAAATATGAGAAGAATCCTACCTTAAGGGTTTTTTTCAATTTAATGTTGCAGGTTTTTATTTTATTAATAATATTACAAAAATGTGTTGATATGCAATGTGCAGTTAAACTTCAGTATTCTGGAATCTTTAAATATCTCGAAGCTTTTCCCAGATAAAATTAAGTGGTTTGACTGTGTAATGTCATTGATACAGGTTTGGGAAAAGATGTTCAAAGCAAATATCTTGAAACTTATTTTTGATTGCCTCACTTTATTTATTTAAAAACAATATATAAAAAAATATTTACATTGTCTGGCTTTAGGTTCTGTAATTAATATTAACCCCATCCAACTTTTGAAAAATTCTTCTTTTTAAGTATTTGGAAAGGATTAAGAAATTCACAATTTTTATATGTTGAGTAATAGGTTTTTGTGCATTTTCATCTATATTTTAAATTTTACAGCTTGTTTTAGTCTTGGTAATTTTAGAAATAATAATTAGGATATTCTCTAACTTAATTGATTTTCTTTGACTTTTTGTCTCCCTTTTACAGCATCAAATATTGTGGTACTCTTACACAGATTTACGTAGAAGGTGTCATGGGCTTGTAAAAATGTTCCTGTAACAAAATAAATGTTAATGATTTGAATGGATTTCTAAATAAATATTTAATCTGCTTTTTAATCTGTTTTCTGAAATAGAAATTTTGATAAAGAGAATTTCAGAACCGAACACCAATACTGCCAGTAAACTCAGTTTGTGTTCAATGTGCTGTGTGCTTTGAACTTTTTTTTTTCATTTCATTTAAATGAATGCAAATCCATAATGTATATGCATTTGTCCTCATGTTTTTGTTATTTCATACATGTTTGTTGTAATGTGCCATCACATTTTTATTCAAACTGCAATTTATGGATATTTATAATCCTTCATTTTTTAATATTCAGATTATTAGAATATGTTGGGTTACTGTATATGTATTTGCAATGGAAGAATGTAATAAAATAGTTTCAAATGAAATGAATTAAGTATTTGTAATGGGGATGCAGTTGAGCATATTGGGGTTTATAAAAAAATATTCTTATTCCATTGTAGCTGCAGAACTGTAACTTTCTGCTTGAGAAAACTAGAACAGATACATGTAAAGCATCTGTCCAAATTTTCTCAAACAGAGAGCTATACAGTTCTACAGCTAACTCAAAATAATTATGTTGCCAACTCTTGGTAAATACATAGACCTAAAGCGAAATACTTGCATTTACACAAAGTGTAATTTTTTTATTGCAAAAAAAAAAACGGGGGAATAGTAATAAGTAAAATGAATTAGTTATTATTAACAGCTCTATATTCTTGAAGAGCTGACTTAAAAACAGGGTAAATGATGGGAATACGAATCAAATTAAATGGAATGTTAAAAGTAATCGATCACGTTGCTATAATACATCGGGTTCGGCATTAACCAAAGTCGGATTTGACGTCATAATGGCGTCATATTTCAGAAGAAATGAGACAACAAATATTTTATTTATTATTACAGTTTATTCTGCGTAAGTTTACTTATTTTATATTTTGTTTGTCTGACAAAAAATTCTATTGATAAAATGGTAAAATATTTCCGTGTAAATGTAGCTGCAGATCTGTAGCGTTATGGTTTTATATATGTGTCTTTGTTATGGACATATAAAGCCATAACACTACAGATCTGCAGCTGAAGCGTATGATGCACTATTCGGTCACAACTTTGACCATTTTTACAGTGCAGTAGTCTACCAAGAGACTTTGTACAAAAGGCAATTTGTATTTTAAAGATTTTCAATAAGATATGAATTAGTCATCAAAAATGGGCATGATATCTGCAACCAGTTACGTGTAGTACCACCCCCACCGGCCACCCCCACCCCCCATTTCCCCCGAGACACATCCACACATTCATGACTGAAAATCACGTATCAATCCTTTTTGGATATTAGGGGGTTCTAAAGATTCATGGAATAACCGGTACGCAAACTAAGCCGATCAGGGTCCTTAGAACTGTTTCTGTTGACCGTTTTAAAAGTATATGTTTGTTATATACAAAAAATATCGAGTATCGATACTAAAATTGAATATTAAATGCTATCCTCAGGAGTAAGTGAGACTGCAAAATTGTTTAGTAAAATGAAGACTCATCTTTCGTATAAATAGCCCCCTTTTCACTAACTTCTCAGGCACGTAGCAACACTGCAACAGGGGGCACGTTTTTTTGCCAACATTACTTTTACTATTGAAAATGTTCATTGAAAGGCTGGTCTCTCTCCACCCCACTTTTTACTACAGTAAAGTGATAATAAGGGAAATATAGTAATGTATGCAACTGAAAGAAGTTGGCATTGATTGAAAGAAGTTGGCCTCTAACCCCCCCCCCCCCCCCTGGCTGGCCCCCTACTTTCAAAAACCGTTGCTACGTCACCGCTTCTCATCCCCAGCAAAGTTCTCGTTTGACATCTATAAATACTAAGTACAGTATTTACTTTTAAATTAATTAAGTCGACTTTATCAAAAAACTTAGTGCGCATTTTGGGAATCAATTAAGACTTGTTTGATCAGTTAATAAAATGGTGGTAACTCTCTCTCTCTCTCTCTCTCTCTCTGAATACTAGTATATATGGCTCATTGGTCGTCATTTTTTCAAGTTTCTGATCCTGTCACGACAGTCCACGTCAAGGTAAGGATTGACAATGAAGACGGGTCACCTGTGAAGTATTTTGAGGAGGATCTGACAGAAGAGGGTAAGGCATAATTTACACCTTAAGATTCTTCGGAAATTTTGTACAGATGTAAGGGTCATTCTTTTTCTCCCCCCCCCCCCCCCTCCTTTTTTTTTTTGTTGAAAGAATTGGATATTTTAATGAGTAAATCAAAGAATTAAAAACACACCTTTTATTAAATTCCATCAAAATCAAAATAAAAATGTGTTCTAAGAAGTCTGCAGTTTACTGTTTTATAGGTAAATAATAGAACACGTATGTACATGTAAATATCGCAAAAATATACTCACTCCTAAACATGTTTGAGAGTGTTGTATTCTTTCACCGGTATTTTTTTTTAAACTACAATTTTCTGTACTTGGTATATTTTAAGAATTTCATGGATTTAAGTTTTCTGATAACAGATATATTGCCATTTGTTACTATCTTACTATCCTTAATTGTAAATAGTGTTCATTTATGATTATCCTTTTTTTTAAAATTAAAACAGATTTTCAGGAAAAGCCACCATTTGAAATGGTTGACAGAAATAAACGAGCTTCATACGACACTAGGCCTCCTGAATCACCAAACAGATTTAAAAGAGACATATTTGATACGAATCTAGAAAGTAAGTATGTGTTGCCTGTTCCAAAGACAAGTTTTTGATACTGAGTACTGATGTACGAGGGTTGATCCAAAAGTAATGTCACAACTTTGATAAAATTACTATAAATCGACGTAAAGCAACAAAATTACACATGATGGAAGCATTAATTATTTCAAATCAGACCTGAAAAATTCAAAGGTATATGATGTATAATTTTCAAAATATCGGATTTTAATCAATGCACGTTTATGGTAGTCGCCGCACCTAAATATAACGCCATATGACGGATACACACCGTCATACTTTTAAGCGTTTCCCCTTCGTTTCATTAAACAATATTTGTAATTCGCAAACACTTTCACCAATTTCACTTTCTTTAAGAATTCTTGGTACTATTATACACTCACTCTTTTCATAATTAAGCCCTCTGTCAAATTTTGTTGAACAATAGCATAAGACAAATTTAAAAATTCACAAGTCACTCTATACGTCTGTCACTTTTGACAACGTCAGACACCATTGAACGTGTCCGTCTGACCTCCTATCTTTCAGTCTTCTTGTCCTCTACAAATCATTCAGTGACCAATCACCCGCCCAAAATTGCTGAAACCATCTATTAAGTCGCTCTTATTTACATTCTTTATTCTGTAAGTCTGACTGAATAACGAAAATGTTGCTAGTGATGATTCCCATATTTTGAAGCAAAAATGCATTACAACTCGTCGAGCCTTTTTTTCCCAATTTCGACAATCCCTGTGTTCAATTCAACAGAGTAAAACAATATTTTTATGAATTACAAATACCAATGCCGTCATTTAATTTTCAATTAAAAACTAGAAAATGACGAGAAGTGTGTCTTAAAAAAAATTGGGAGATTAGGTGCTTTTTTAGAATCTTTTTAATGTGTTTGTCTTTTTCATTCTCAGAAAATATACACTTTAAAACGTGACGTTTCGTTGTGACGCGGCGACACCCCCTATGTTCTGTGTTTTAAACATCTATAAAATAAATTCAAATAAACATTATTTAATTAAAATTTCAATGTTAATTAGATTTATATTTGTGCATCTTTTGGTGTATTGTATTTGATAATATGACGCCAAACATAAAAGATATGGACACTGTGACATTACTTTTGGATCAACCCTCGTACGTGTACGTAATTTGGCGTATTCAAAATTTAGCGCAATCAGTGGATATGGAGTTGTTGGCGTAATCATGAATTATATATATAAATAGCGCTATACACATGTTCGTGCCGTATACATGTATTCTATTTATAAATGAATTCTTTGTGGTATTCATCAATTAGCGAATCCTCCTCTGCGCCAAAGCCGCTAAAATATGAAGCCCGCTATTTTAAGTATAAAACATGCAATATTTTGTCTTAGAGTTAGATATTGATACAGTGGCGTAGCATCGTTTTTGAAAGTGGGGGGGCCAGCCAGAGAAAAAAAATTCTTTACTTACCTGAAAAAGTTGACAAGCAAAAGAAAAAAAAAAAAAAAAAGAAAGAAAAAAGAAAAAGGAAAAAGTTGCCCAAAGTCGAAAATCCTATTTCGTGAGGGGGAGGGGGAAGGTAAACTTTTTCTCAGTGTCAACTACTTTTAGTACCAATTCTAATACTACATTTTCGTTTTAGTACCAATTCTAATACTACATTTTCGGTACATCACTAAAAGTGGGGGGGCCAACCAGGCTTTCAATTAACATTTCGTATAGTACATGTATAAGTAAGGTTGGGAAAAAAAGTGGGGGGGGGGCAGGCCCCCCCTGGCCCCCCCCCGGTTGCTACGCCCCTGTGATATGTGTAATACTTTTTATATGATTGAAAAGTCAATGAAAAGCAAATAAACACTGTTTAATACACATGATTGTTTTATATTTTGAATTTTTCAGTTCGACAAAAGCCGGAATGTGATGAGAAACTCAGTGAAATAGTCAATAAAAGCGAAAGTAAGCCTATCCAGTTGGCCTACGTGTTGGAACCAGGGGAAAATGTTAAATTAATGTGCCATTTTTGGTAATATTTTTTGATTCAATGTTCGTAAAGTTATTCTGCTTCTGTTTATGTTCATCATTTCTTATTACTTCCTATTTCCTTCATCGTCGCAAACCACGACCAAAATGAACAATCCTCTCCCATTCTTCATGGTCGTGGTAGAATGAGAGGAGATTGTACTTCAATATCTATATCTCTAATGTCTGTGTCCGCGAGAAAAATACAAATAGTTAATATACTTAATTTCTACAGAACTGTAATATTTCATCGATAGGCGCGGTAAAAAAAAAATCACTTGCGGGGCGGGACTAATAGAGAAAGAAGCGGGGCTTGTAGCAACAGGCACTTGTTTCGTATACGGGGTACCCCCTACTTATATTTACATGTACCACAAGGAAATATAAGTTGGGGGTATCCCGTATACTAACAAGTGCCTCTGCTTGTAGCCCGTATATTTGTGGAATCAAAAGCACGTAAATATGAGGAATAACTGTCAGATTTTTTAATTTCATGACGATGATCAATCGATTGGCTTGTGTGATAATTTTATGCATAAACGCATTCGGCGTTTTATGCAAATTATCACGCAAGCCACTCAATTGATAACATGAAATCAACATATTAGACAGTAGTGCATCTTATCCCATAATCACATAATATTGAGTGGATAGGGCTGGGGGCTAACCCCTTTTTGCCAATCCTTTAATTATTGAAAAATTAAAATATTCATTGAAGGTTTACTTGGTCCCTCCAATTTTTGTTCAGTACAGCATCTATTACTAGTAGTTGAATGATGAACTTTGGGATGTACTAATTAAGACTAGTCTGTTTGTGAAAGAAAGTTTGAGCCTACCGAGATTAATAGAATATGAAAAATAAAAAAATAAATTGCAGGAGTTAACGTTCCTTTCTTAGGCCGGGCATCCTTAAATTATGAATAATACAAGCAATACTATGATGTTGCAAAATCATAAACTAAGACAAAACTTTATGCCATTGGTTTGTTTGTTTGTTTATTCGGGAAATGGCACATAGAACATAAGTTGACACGTGTAAACTTTAGAAATTATAAAATGCACGTAAAATTACATAGTTCTTAAAACCATAACATTATATTGTAAAAGATAGGTTTTATATCAATTTGTCTAAATGAACGTTTTCTTTATGTCCCACAGTCCGTCATGTACAAGTCATGTAACTCATGTTAGAGATTTTGGATTGAAAAGACTAAAAGTAAAATAAAATCCTCAAAAATAAAAAGCAATCGTTATACCTAATTTACTTAAATTATATTATCAAGTTTTGAATTTCTAACAGTGGGGATGTTAGAAAACACCGCGGGATAGTTGAATGGAAGCGCTTGATCCGCCAAAGCACTGCCACGGGGAAATACCTCATAAAAACGGTGCAGGAGGACATGCATGATGTCGAGGTTTTGAATCACGTCAAATTCACCATGGACCATAGCCTCGTCATCATGAACATCACGCATGGTAAGATTTCTTCGTTTCTAATTTTTCCTCTTGACTGTTCTTAATTTTTAAGAAAAGATGGTAAGAAAGTTATGCAACACGAGTGAAATTAGAAAGAGATACTTGTATAAGGTTAACCCAAATATTCCTTCGATTGTCTGACGACATCATCTATCTCCGTATTCGGAAATCACTAGAAAAATTTTAGCTCACCTGAGCTGAAAGCTCAGGTCAGCTTTTCTGATCACATTTTGTCCGGCGTCTGTCTGTCTTTTCGTCTGTATATATGTAAACTTTTCACATTTTCGACTTCTTCTCCAGAATCACTGGGCCAGTTTCAACCAAACTTGCCAAATAGCATTCGTGAAGGGGATTCAAGTTTCTTCAAATGAAGGACCACGCCCTCTTTCAAGGGGTGATGATTAGGAAATAGTGAAATTTTGGTGGCATGTTTTAAAAATCTTCTTCTCAAGAACCACTTGGTTCTGAAAGATGAAACTAGTGTGGAAGCATCCTCGGGTAGTGTAAATTCAACTTTGTTCAAATTATGACCCCGGGGTAGGGCAGGGCTACAATGGACAATCAGAGTTTTACATAGAAATATACACACTGCTCAAGAACAACAAAACCATGATTGGTCATATACTCAGGTAGTGTAGATTCAACTTTGTTCAAATCATGACCCCGGCCCGGGGGTAGGATGAGGCCACAGTGGATAATCAAAGTTTCACCTAGGAACATATATTAGGGAAAATCTTATAAAATCTTCTTCTCAAGAATAACAAAGCCATATGATTGGTCAGATTTATATGGAAGCATCCTAAATAGTGTAGATTCAAATTTGTTCAAATCATATGACCAGCTACAGTAGGCTGGGATTACAATGGGCGATCAAAATAAAACAAAGGAATATTTAGGAAAATTCTTTAAAATTTTCTTCTTAAGAACAACAAAGCCAAGATTGGTTATATTTGTAATAAAACATCCTCAGGTACTGTAGATTTAAGTTTGATCAAATCATGATCCCTGAACGTACATGTTAGGTAGGCCAAAATGAATTTTTCAAACTTACAGGGAAAAAAGCCACATTAAGTCACAGAAATATGTAAGCATTCTTCGTTAGTGTAGATTCAAATAAATTCAAATTATAACCCCCCGTTTTTAGGGGTAGGTTGGGACCAATTATGCATTAAAGCTTTTCAATACTGGATTTATTTTTGTTTTTTTTTTGTTTCCTAGCCACAGTGCTCAGTTAGGCGATGAGGCCCATGGGCCTCTTGTTTTCTCGAGATGACGTTTATTGACGGCAAACATTATTTCAGCTGATGCAGACACATATTTTTGCATTATTATAACACAAGATATGCTGATAGAGGACGAAATGGACGCTGAAGGGATGAAACAAATGTTTCTGGCGGACATTTCCACCACAAGTTTCAGGCTATACTACCATGTGGACGGTGAGTACTAATTAAGGTTCATTGATACTCTGATAAGAGAGATAACTCTTAATGACATAAATGTCTATATAAGTTCATTTATAGATTTGCCAAGTTGAAGTGTCTTTTTTGTCCAATTTTGCCCCGCAAGCTGTGCTAAAATTGTTTGTATTTTATACTTATAAAATACATTTCTTTTGGAAAATCATTAAGGTTCAACATGTTCAAGCAACATTTTATATGAGTGAGAAGAGGGTTTATGAACCTTAAGGAACATTTTGAAATTGTATTAATTGTATCTAAATTATTAATATTTAACTATGCAAAATTTTATTTTAAATATCCTAGAATAAAGCTTTCGGTCATGTAATTCACCCATGTCAAGTACATGTAATGAATACATGTACTTTAATAGACTCCGTCTGACTAAAAATGTTTGTTAGCAAATTTTTGTTAAAGTTACTAGAATTATGAGAAGTATGAATATTTTTTTTAACCCGCATTATAAATCAAAATGAAATTTTTACAGTGATACACACTACCACTATTTGTTTCAGTAATAAGAACCACGGACATTCCAGCAAGACGGCGTAAGTAGTAAATCTGATTAAAAAGATAATTTTTAATTGTCTACTAAATTGTTTTGATTAAATGTATAAATTGTTGATTGAAAGAAAATCACCATTTTTTCTTTGCAAAACCTAGTCACTTATATAGACAGTTTTGAGCCCGCAGAAGAGAAACGTAAGTTTTGAGCAAAATTTACTCACATAATCTATAGATGAAGATATTAAAGAGTATTGTTAGAAAATATCTATGAGCACCAGAACATCCTAATTTTATCACTGTTTCGTAAAAGATGTCAAAATAATTTACTTTAAGTATAAATCGACAGCTACATGTACCACACTGGCTATTACGGTGCGTTTCACATATTTACTCGTATAATACATGTACTATAAATATAAATGCTGCATATAGTTGGGGGTAATGTTACGTTGAAAATAAATCCGTCGTTAAAGCAGGCGAATTAATTCCTGATCCTTTCTTCTTTTAGCTACCTATAATATGAGATTTTTCACGGAATGGCAGGAATGGAGCTCTTGTTCTGTGTGTGGAAAACATGGCGAAAGAAAGAGGCATGGTAAAAAAAATCCTATGTATAAAAAAATAGCTGTAAATTAGTGAAAACAACTACATGTATATCAATGTCTTTAAGTGTGAATTCACTGGGTGTATATAGGTTTGAAGATGAACATGAAATTTAATTGTGAATGGTTTTGTATGAAAGGTTTCGTTAGTTATGCCAGGAAAATAAATATTAATAAATAATTGTTATTTTTGCCTGGTTCCTATTAAATTTATTACGTGAAATAGGAATTTTTTAAAAAAAAGATTTGAACAAATTAAAGAGAATAAAAATTTATTTTTTAGGTGTTTGTACTGTCCAACTTATGTATCCTGAGAAGTTCATAGAACCAGCATATTTATACTACGCCCTGAAATTCTTTAAAAAGGGAATCCCCTGCAGATCTACCATGTTTGACTACTTTGGCGAGTCGTTCATCACGAGAGCGGACGAGATTCAGATCGGGGAGTGTACTGCAGACTGTAAAGATAAGTGTACGTCTCAGTGGCGGATCCAGGAATCTTGAAAAGGGAGGAGGGACCAGTATGGGGTCGGAGCCCACAGCCACACACCCCAAAAATGATTTATTAATTAAATTATATATATATATATATATATATATATATATATATATATATATATATATATATATATATATATATATATATATATGTATTGGACACAATAGGGGGACCCCCTGCATCCCCCCCCCTTATAATTCCGCCAGTGCGTCTGTATTTATTCAACACTGAATAAACCCAGACTTGAAAATAGGCGAGAATCGTCCATGTAACACTTAGCAATTTTAATACATTCGTTCAAATTTCTAAATTTAAAAAACTCAAACTCAGATAAGTGTTACACGGACAGAGCATGTCTACAAAATCCAGTTCTTCTTACAACAAATTACACCGCATATGTAGGATAACTTGCAAAAACAAGTTATTAAGTTAAGTATCAACATTGTTTATATACCCATAACCTTGACTTCTGAGTTTGAACTACTTTTGGAAAATTTTAACACTGACCATAATTTCTGAAGTTGCTGCAAGGGCTTTCATATTCCATAATTATTTGTATTCCTTGGTACAAAACAACGGGTACATCATCATGCATACAGCTTCTTTTCTATTTTCCATGGCTTTTCAATTGCATTATTTTCAGTAACTTTCATTTTCGCCATGAGTTGTCATAGTATCAATGTTTCGCAAACACATCTTGTTTTTATATTTTGTGCAGAAGTAAACAATCCGTGTGTTTAATCAAATGATCATTTTTATCATTCTCTTTATCTTACAGCTTCAGTCAAATTCTCTAGATTGAGCCCAACCGACATGCAGTTTCGTGGACCCGATGATAAAGGTAACATACTTCTCACTGATGAAGCACTACAGGTGTTTTGTTGAATACCTAAGGTTATTTGACGACTATATTAAGAAGCAATATTTTCATGCAACATATAACAATTATATCCTCGGTTCCTCGGTTTCTTTGAGAATGATATAACATTACACATGTATTTATTTCTTTTTCAAACATGATAACTGAATTCGGATGTTCAAGATGATAGGCAATATTACTTTTCAGTTTCATAATTATATAACAGTGTTCCTAACTTATAGACAACCAAAACTGCCTTGCAAATGGGATCTAGAATTTCTTTTAATATGATTAGAGTATGCAGAATGACGCCAGTTTCTGCATGAATGTGTCAATTTTTTGCAATAATAAAGATAGTACTAGTACAATTCCTTAAATTAGTAATTCACTTATAGTTTGGTAATATTTTATGCTATTGAAGTAAAGAATATGTTATCAAAACGTTAAATGAAATTACATCAACTTTGAAATTACAGTACCTATATCATTTAACTTTTACTTTAAAAATTACTGGATATGATAACCCCTTCCACCAAATTTAAAAAGAAGACGAAATTTAGGACGACTTCTTTTGGAATAATACACATAGTCATACATGTATGTCACTAACAACTGTCGATGCCCACTCACAAAAGAAACGTGATTTCCATGCAGATTGAAATATATACATGAACTAAATAGAGAATCAATAAAGAAAAAAAGACCACACATTGATTTTTTATTCGGCACCATCCCCCCAAATCACTTTTTGTGTGGTTTACAATGTCATTTTGCAGTCAACGCCAAATGTCTTTAGGGAATAAGAAATCGATAAAAAGAAGAAACTGCATTGCTGGACCTAATGCTTATTAGAAACAATACAGTAAATATTGATATTATTTTCAATTTTTTATGGACATTTATCACACGAATAGGGGAGTAAAGCGTGACTGTCACAAGGCCTTGTCTGTAATAAATAATGCAGGATTAAAGATAAGTGCTTCATGTTTTAGAGGTATAAATTACACGATTTAACTTAAAGTAAATCCTGTGTTTAGCTAAGACACTGTAGTTAATGTATTTCTTTTTTTTTACATTTTAGCTCCTGAGGATATATTTCTCAAAGAGGGAGATTCAAATATTTTAACATGCAAAGGGCAAGTGTTTGTATTAGAGATTTACGGAGAATCTTCCGAGTTCGTATCTGAAACTGATATCTGTAAAATGTAACCAATTTACTTATTGCATTGACAAATCAATTTCCCTCATACCCCTTAGACTCAGGAGATAGCATCAAATAACTATGCTGTCATGGATATGTCTGTGTATGAAGCTACAGTAAGTCCCCTATTATAGAGTGTGATTTAAAGAATGCAGTGTGCGCCAAAACCTATTTTTTTTCAACTGTCGCCTAAACGGGTTAAATCATTTCAACCCTCCTTTTGAAAATAAATTAATAACTGTTGTTGATTAGTTCATTCCTTGGCACTTGATTCTGTAATTTTATTAACCCAAGGTATAATGAAAACACATTAGGTATGCAACTCCGAATTACACGGAGTACCCCCTTCCCCAGATTTGCACTCATTTTCAGTGTACACTTTCAGAGGAAACGTAGGACAAACTATTTATTACCAGTTCACTATTGTCTTCTACGATAATTTATCAACAAACATATACAGCATGCTTGTCTTTATTTTCTTTTATCTCCGTAAACAAACTCAAAACTCCCCTTGCCGAGTGGAAAAGTCGAATCACCCCCATGAAATGGTATGTGTTAAACTCCGGGCAGAGATTTTGACTGGTTAAAAATTTGTTTTTAAAAAAATTACATTCAATTTGGGAAAAATATCGCAGTGTACTTCAATTTTTTATTCGCTCAAAACCAGATCACTGGTACAAGAGGTACATATATACATATATACAAGCAAAAAATTATTACAGTCAAGGGTCAAGAGATAGACAAGTACGTTGAATATAAAGAAACTCGAAAGGAGTGAGAAAAAAAAATGACTGTAGTCGTCTATATATAAAACACACGGAGGAATCAAGAAGGACAGACAGTTTTAAAAATTTTCTTTATAAATAGTGATAATGATTTTTGTATCTCTACATTATTACTACTCATTAGTTCATTGAATTTGAAAGTGTTAGGATTATTACAATATCTGTTTGGGAAAAATATTTTTCTGTCTTTTGAAAAGTACTTACATTCCATAATATAATGATATTCATCACCAACAGTTTTAAAATCACAAATGGTACATATTCTTAAATTTCTGTCAATATTATGCCATCTACCCTTTTCAATTGGCAAATGGTGATTACAAGTTCGGAGTTTTGTAAGTGTAACTCTTAAATCTTTTGGTAAATTCATCAGATAATTTTCTAAACCAAAATCTGTTTTAAAAATTCTATAATTAATACACTTGGATGAACTATAAACAATGCTTCTCCATTCTTGTTCGAATTGACATTTTATAGAAAATAACACAAAATTTATTTATTCACTGCACTACTTTATCACTGCAATAAAATTTTTTTTTAAACCAAGCTATTTTTTTAGTTTTGTTTGCTGTCCCAGATTTGCACTGTCGCATCATCGCGCATCACCTTTTTGGGCGTAGCTGCAGATCTGTAGCTCTCCGAAAAAATAATTTGACAGATCGGAGGGCTACAGTACCACCCATTGAAAAAACTGTATATTTATTGCGCACAAAAAAGTGCGCTGTTTATCGATTTATTTCTCCATGTTTTTAAAACTATAATCTCAAAATATTACTAACCGTGTATTCCTAACATAATCTTTCACTGTTTCCACAACAAAACATACCGTATAGTTGTTGTTTATAGCCCTCCTGGTCCGGAAATCGAGATCATCGAAAATTTCGTCTGTTTATAACTGCCATTTTGGTTTGTAAGATAATTCGGCCCAAAACGCTTCGTGTAGATGTCAACTACGAAAGTACTTGATAGAAGAGTACGGAATTCTTTGAAATCTATTTTTTTTTGCTATTGAGGTAAGAATTTTGAAGAATTAATCCATACACAGTTTTTTCAATGGATGGCACTGTAGCTCTCTAGTCTATCATATTTTTCGGAGAGCTACAGTTCAGTTCTGCAGCTATTTTGGGCGATGATACGAAGACCCAGCGCTGCGATCGATGACGAGACAGTGTGATGACGATAGCATAATACAGCAATCCGTGCATAGCTTCATCGTCCTTGTATCGTAATTTCATTGCACAATCGCAATCCTATCTGCATCGCCTTTTACCACTATTATTCTTTTATCATCGTATACCAAAACGTCTCATCCTGAACTAGGCTCTGTCATGTCATTGCACCATAGACCGAAAGGTTTCTGCGCAATAGCGAAAACATATTTTTATATGAACTATGCAACATGGTGAATATTGTAACAAAAACATTTATAAAAGGTGAAATTAAGACATCTTTCTATTGCAGGGCCAGTCTTGACGATATCGTTTACTGGTTGAACAATTCGGAATACATGACGTCGTTTGCACTGGAAAACAAGACATCTGGAAGGATAACCATTGATGTCTATGGTAACCTGATGATAAAAGATGCTCGTAAGACAGATTCTGGTCTCTATGAGTGCTGGGTTAGAATGACAAAGAGGAGAGCTATCCAGTTAACAGGTACTTCATCTTATTAATAACGAGTTTTAAAGTAAATAAGCGCAATTGTTCAAAATTTAATTCAAAGATACATACTTTAATTAGAAATCTATTTGGAATTAGATCTTAAAATCGATCCAGAAAGACAGCGTGTCGCTTTGGAAAACAGGCAGAGGAAATGCAACACGTCAGTCCCCAGGGCAATGAATCATCCGAAGACTTTAGGGTTATTTTCTTATTTTTCTTAAATGACAAAGAGGCCAAATTGTAAACAATAAATATGCTTTTTAACACTGTATTTCGTAGCATTCTACTGTTACAGTAGGTAATGAAAAAGACTGCAATTTTGTCTTGTCATTTTAAAGTTTGTTAACCAGGAACAAAACTGTTAATTTACCATCTACAAAATATAGATGTTTTTAGAAAAACAAATTTACATTAATGTGTTGCTTATAGTTAAATAATTAAGTTTTTATTGGCAGAACAAGCCTGTTTTGTACGAAAATTTTATATGATTCATAAAATGCAAATGGTAGACAAGAATCGGAAAAGAAACTTTTTTATACTTCAAAACATACTGAAATAATGCTCTAATCTATTTCAACGCATATTTTGAATTATTTTGCGCGTTCCAAAGTACATATTGCGTTTGTTCTTTTCATTGCCAGCCAATCTTCTTTCATAAGATGATTAACTCTATTTTGCATCAAAGCTCTTAGTAAACACCTCATTATATGCATTAAGTCCAGAAAAACAGTCTAGTATATTATTTTGTTCATTATACTGAAAGATTTCCACAGAGAACACATCATCTACAAAAATAATTTACTAAATGCACCCTGGAATTAAATTGCCAACAGGGCCAGTGTATTTTTCTTAAATAAACGATCATATTAAAAAATAATAATAACTGTAAACTGTAACAGCATGAGAAATTAAAACATAAAAAAGAAAATTATTAATTCATGGATACATAATGGTAATTAGAAAAATAATTTTCTAAAACACTAAATTATAAATTTCGAAAACAAAATTATCGTAACAAGCTGCTGTCAATATTGTATTTAGCAGTAAAATAACTAAATAAGATATAACATGAAATTCCCATCACGTTAAGTAGAATGTGAAGACTGTTATTAGAATAATGACAAAAATTGCTAAAAATGAGGCTGCACAAAATGAACCGGTGTTACAATTGGCGCATGCGCCCTCTGTTTCTTCCTCGTCTTCCCCTGATTCAGTCAACCTCTGAAAAGAATATAAATTCAAATCAATGATATTAAGATGTTCTATGTTACATGTTAATATTTTCATTTAGCGCATTTTTTAGGTACTTTATCTTTAATCAAATTTGGTTAAAAATGAAATTCAATTTTTAATGACATTGTCAAAAATTATGTTAGCTCCGTGAACATGGTGAAATAACTATTATAACGAGCCGACATACTGATTAATTAATCATATTGATGTAGATAGTGTATTGTATATGCATGCATGCGGTATACCGAATCAAAAGTCATAGTAATTACGAAGTATTGGTTCAATATTAATTATAAATACATGATTGTATGGTCTACGATGTTTCCCTTAATGTTACTTTTGCAACAGGAAAGAACATGACGTATAAAAAAAATATTCATCTAAATAATTACATAGACACTATATGTTGGATGTTATTATCCATGAATTTATTTCAGATAAAAATTACATTCTGACTACTGGGCAGACTGGCTGTACTCACAAATTCTATATTCATATATTGTAGAAGAAACGATGCAGAAATGCAATGAAACTTAAAGAACAATATGCATTAATTTTCTTTAACTAAAATACTAGTAATAGAAAAAAAGTATACGGAAACAAACTTCATGTATCTATACATAATTGGGAACATTAAAAAGGACATTTATTGCCATTTCTTTTGCACTGGAATTGCGAGATATTTGCCTTTTCTTTGTCCATTCATTACAAGTACATTGTCCAGACGGTTTATTTTTGGGTTCTGATCAATATTGGTTTAAAACAATACTAGAAAGGGTTATGTAACACTATTTACGTAAAACACAGTGTCGTATGGATTTAGTGTTTCTTATTGTAACCCAAGTCAATAATTCTTTGAATTACGAATACCAGCAATCATAAACACGCTTTAAAGCTTTTAGTTAAAATAAAAGCACAGTTTACGCGTGTGTACTTTTGTGAGTATGCGTGCCTGTGGCGGTATTTTCTTTGACTATCATAATTTGCATAAAGCTATAATATAACCATGTTTTCATCAAACCCAATATGGTTTTTCATAGCATGGTTCTAGAATTATTACTAGTAATTCAAATGACTGCTGAATTCGAGAAGACACTTATACGAATTATACACAAAACTCTGATACGAGTACATGTACCTCTAAGTTGTTGACAAACTTACATTTGCATCGGAAAGCATCGGTTCTCGTTCAGGTTCTGATATTAGGGAACTCACTGTTCCTTTTGCTGAATCAAAATGTACAGATACGTCATTTGATCCTGATTGGTCACTGCGTTCTTCACTGATTTCATTTCTTGAATGATTATTGGAGTCACTGATAGGGGTATGAGTGTTTAGATAATGACGTTGAACAATGACGTAGTTGCTGCAATGTTGACATGACGTGGTTTGGATTGCACCACTCTGTAAACCGTCTCTTCCACATATACACACATTTAAACGAGGCACAATACCATGTTGTGGACAGACACATAACTCAGCAACGTGTCCACCTGCTGTTGTTGACTCGGGTGAACTTTGGGACGGATATATTGTGAAAGAAGACGTTGACGGTTCAGAATTTACCGCTTCTTGGTACGATGGAGGCGGAGCTTCCATTTTCTGCAAGATTCAGAAATAGCTTAAATTGAATAGCTGTCATTAATTGAAAGCGTTATTTACCACTTGTTAACACTATTTCAGCTAGCATCGTAATTTTCTGGCATTGATTGTGCTCGGAAGCCATACACATGCTTGAATGCTTTGTTGTTTGAACGGTCTCTTATTTCTTCACTTGATTGTGAAGCATATCAAGATACAACGTAAACCATGCTTTATTGGAAATTGAGTAGGACACTTGCCTGACATCTCCTTACACGTTTCGTTATTGATAGAATCATTTCCTCAAACGTGGAGAAGAAATTTAATTTTACACACCGGATGTGTTGGAAATTGAAAAATCGATGCTTCAACTGCCAGAGAGTACAATATTTTGTAGTCATAGAAACCAATTAAGTAAACCATTTAAACGTGGAAAAAATCTTGGTTTCACTTTAAATACATACCATACCATTAGAGTCACATACCTTATGAATTTCAATTTATCATTTTCTTGCTTGTTTTCAGTTATTCTCAAGAGTTAATTATATACATATACAGAAAAAAGTTTCTCTTACCTAATTTTCCGGTACGACATTTATTCATTAAACAATATGTCGTCTGCATGCCGTGACTAACCAGTGCTCTCAACCAATGTTGGCTGCTGCTGCTGTGAAAATATACACATTATGATAACTATTCTCAAAGAACGATAATCATCGAGACCGCGGAGAAGACGCGATCGATGGAATACAGTCGCTGAACCCAATCATTCGCATGCATATGTCAGCTGTCGATTTCGTGGCGTTGGGTCTGCATTGATTGCAGAGGGATAAATATTGTATCATTCCGCCAGATTTATTTTGAAGTTCTGTTTCTTTTAGTTGATTAAGAAAAAATTGTGCATTACACCTAGGTTGAAACTTAAATTTTAATGAAGAACGATTTGCGTATTAAGGAAAACAAACATGAAATATATACGAGGCCGTTTTTAAATAATGAGTGATGAATTTGTCTACGACTGTATGAAATATTTATTTTTAAAGGGGGTCTAAATAATTAAACACATTAAAACACATGCATAATTCGTGTTTTTTTTTTTTTAGATTGTATAAATTTAGTCAGTTTTGATAATAATTAAATCATTTCATATGAAAAATAATGAAAATATAGTTATTTTCATTAAAAACAAAAAGAAAAAAATCGAGAATACATTTTCCTTTTATGTTATTTTCATTATAAAATAACTTGGGGCAGTTTACGCTTTATAAACCGCGAAAAAGGAAAAAAAGACAATGAGACAATATTTCCTCCACAAAAATGCTTCAAAGTGAGCATTATTTTAAAAGTAACGTCAAGCGGAGTGATACGTTATTGACGTAATACATTTTCCTCAAATGACGCGTTACAACTGAAATTAAATTATAATACATTTATTTAAGGTCAAGATCTAGTATATACATTTATTTTATGAGAAATCATTTTTTTTTTTCCCGTACTTTACGGCTTTAGCAGAATTATGTAGAAAATAGGGTATTTTCATGTCATTCAATTTGAAATCATATGAAAAGTAAACCGGATACCTATATTAAATTTGATATTGATTTCAAGAAGAGGCCATGAACATTCTAATTACCGTTTTCTGAGAGACTGAAAATTTTCCTTTGTCGAATATTGAAAAAAACTCCCATATCCATATTTTTCTTAATTTTTCAAAAATTTTAAAAAAATCTTGTTTACCTACAAATTATGTTATTTGCCCAAGCGAAAGTAATCAACAGTTTATTTCTCAAGTTTGATAAATCTGGAAATGTACATTTTTTTTTTCACGGATATTAAGCATTTTTTTTCCCATATATCGCGATTGTAAATTTTTACATATTAAAATTAATTTTAAAAGGATCACGTGAAAGGTTTGATGGAAATGTACATATACGGAATTTTTTGAATTACAGATGCCTGGAAGAGATACCTGGGTTATTTGATGTACAGTTACTTTGTGAATTTCTGTGTGTTCCTGGCGCTGGTTCTGGTCAAGCATTGGCACAGACAAGTACAACTGACCACTGGTAACTATAACCCCCTGTATACCAAGGACAACATGGAAGAAGAGGAAAAACTTGACAACTATTACGTAGAAAAAGAGGGTGAAGATTCTAATGTGAATGCGCTTGATCTGTCTGAAAGTAAAACAGAATTCGATGAAACTATTACATCAGATGACTACTGTATGAAGGGGCGTGATTGTGATGTAGGAGTGCATCATCAATGCGTGAGTTTGGAGACTGAAGATTTAGAGGAAATTCCAACACCATGTGGTGATGGGAATACGTCTTATACCAGACGTAGATAAATAAAGATTGAAATAAATCATGAAAATTGTTGTGTTCAATGCTTCGTATTTATCAAATGGACCCTTTCTTGTGTCTGCTATTCAAAATCATAGGTATAAACAAGAAAACCAGCAATTTGAATCCCTATATCGAGATTCATGAATGTTTGTACCCAAAACTTCTGTCACATCAGGCCTGTAGTCCAAAAATTGAGAACAGATTCAGGTTTATTTAATCTTTCTATTTAAACATGTGTAAAAATTTTATACATGTAGATTTGAAATTTTGATTTTTTTATAAGACTGTTTTCAGTTTATGGTCGCCAGGCCAGATCTGACCGCTGGGTCACGAAAAATCTTCAGCTCAAAGCTGTATTTGGGCTTTAATGGTTACATGAATATCGCTTGATGAAAAAGGATATTGAAAGTTTCATTTGAAATTATCAATTCGCAAGTTTTATGGTCGATACAATTAACTTATCAAAAATACACCTACTACGAAATTATTTACAAACTGAATTGTACAGTTTGTTATGTTTTCATCCGATCGTAACAAGGAGAACACAACGGGTGTGTCTAATCGATAGGGGATGCTCACTCCCCCAAGGCACCTGATCCCACATATGATGTATTTGGAGGTAAATGTTTGTTCTGCTACTGATTTTCATCCTCTTCGTTTTTTCATATTTCTTTCCATATTTAATAAAACTAACTATGGCTCTACTGTACTTGAAAAGATTTTTAAAAAATTTTTCTTATTTATTCCTTATAAAGCTTAAATCCCTTTTGTGACCCCATCCTTCGAAGAGAAAGCATGATTGGAGGAAAACTGAATCTGTCTTAAGGACAGATGATACAAACAAATGTTTTCTTTGGAGGAGACTCAATATCATGTCACAGGTTTAGAAAGGTGGATAGTCCTTAAAATATTTTCTCCTAAGACTTAAAAAATGAAATAGACTTGGAAAATATTAGTTAATATACTTCAATGAAATAATAAATATGAACAAATCTTACTCAGTAAAGGTTTACAGATGAAAACAAATTTCAGAATATGTTAGTTTGGTGCTAAAAGTGTAAAATATAAACTCAAAAAAAAAAACATCAAGCTAGGTGAATTTTATGAGGAAAAACAAAATGAGAAATCAGAAAAATCACATAGGCTGATTTTTATTAACATTTTGCTTTTCCCTATAAAATTCACCAGGCTTTTTATATTTTTCTAAAATTTATATAACATTTTTAGCATCAAGCTAACATATTCTGGAATTTGTTTTCATCTGTAAACCTTTACTGAATGTGATTTGTCCATATCTGTAATTCTATTGAAGTATTTTAAAACTAATACTAAGTATTTTCCAAGTCTATTTCATTTTCCAAGTCTAAGGGGGAAAAAATCCAAAGAATTATCCACTTTTCTAAATCTCTAGCAGGGTATCAAGTCTCTCCAAATAAAAAAAAATGTTTGTATCATCTGCCCTTGATTAAATATGCTTGTCTGATTTTATGTATTTAGCTCAAAGAAAGTAAAAAAAAATTATTCAAGGGAAGGCTAAAATAGATTAAAGTCATTCTCAACAACCACTGGGCCAGAAGAAATGAAACGTGAACACTGAGGAAGTCAGGACCAGTAAAGATGAAACGTGAAATTGTTAACATCCTGGTCCCTGGGAGTTGGCAAGAAGAAATGAAATTTGAAAGCTACCAGATGTGTAGACTTTCATTTGACAAATTTTTTCTTGATTATCCTCATTTAACAGTGGAAGCTGTCCATATATTTGAACAAACCTGAATCCCCTTCATCCAAGGCCTTTGTGGTTCTTGAGAGGAAGTTGAAAATGTGCAACTCACACCTACGAAAAACCGCTTTTTGTTTTAATACTTTCATGTACCAGGTAAATATAGCATGTATTGGGAAATTCTTACTTTCACCTACAAATTTTTAAAATAAATGACAAATTTTAAACTATGGTGTATCAAGACTTGGTGATAACATCAAATTACAGACCTCTTATATACAAATAAAGAGGCATCTGAAAGAATCTAAAACTGATTTTGTGTTGTGATCCCAATGACCAGTGTTTTATACAAATCTGTCTGTGAAATTCCTGAAGATGCCTTCCTATTAATTTAAATAATGCGGATCCTGCTACTAGTATTCATTTGAGAAAGCTTTCAAGTATATTTTCTGTTTACAGTGTATTGAAATTTGTTAGTGGAAATTTTTTTCATAAAATTTAGAACACTGTTATGTATCATTTAATTAAAAAGGATGGGTGAACAAGGTATGCAAAATGCCTATAGCTTCAGATATCATTTTTTTTAAATAAGTAATAAGAGTCAAGTTCTCAGGTGACCTGGTCTGAAAACCACCTTCACCCCAACAAAAATAATACACATGTAATTGTTTTAAAACACAAATTACACAACAAGAACATCAAAATTTTTAAAAATATTCTTTTCATCATGTGTTAATGTATACACCATATCTCTGATCAATTATCCAATAACAAGTCTGAAGGTTGCTACTTAATATACACAATTTTGATGTATCATGTAAATCTGCTGAATCAGCACATATTTTCAAGTTAATGTAGTATAAGGACTCATGCCAAACAAACTTGCTTGAAAGTTCCCTAAATATATGTATGTTTTCTCTGCAGAACCCAAGCCTGTGATTGTACCATCTTCCTCTCTTTCGAATGAGAATGATCACAACTGTTAAATTCTGATTCAGTCATTACTGTCAGAGTCCAGTTGTATAGCATCATCTTGAGAATTACCCACACTGTCTGTATCATTCACCTGTCCATTCATATTCCCCCTTTCTTCATTCCTTAGATTTGGGTTGGAATCTGAGTTTGCAGAAGAATCTACATAATGTTTTTTCACCACAAAACAATCCGTGCTCTGTTCACCAAAATCTAGGTCACTGTCATCCGACTCGTATATTACAGGTTTCTTCCTCTTTAGTGACAGCTGTTTCTTAACAGAAGTTTTGTCTGTAACAGCACCATTACTGGGGCCAGGATCGTTTGAGTTCTGAGATTTCACAATAACAAGTTTAGGTTTGGATTTATTCTTTGGTATTTCAGATTTCATCTTGTCTTTGTTTTGAGATTTTGAGGAAGTTGGATTGTCTTTGGTGGGTTTCTTCTTCTGAATACAGTCCAGTAGGACCTTTGTTGCTTCACACTTCAGTAAATTCTGCTTGTTACCTAATAAACACAATATTACATGTATGTAGTTTTCGGTCATTTAATTTGATCATGAAATTTTCTTTCATACTGGAACCTAAAATATATCTTTTTTAAACAGAAATAGCAATATATGATAAGGGAAATGCAAATGCAAATGTAGATCATTCTCAACAGATATTCTTCTTAATCTGTGACCAATGTCAAAACCAAGGTAAACCTCTACATGTTTCTTCAAAGAAATAACATCAATTTAAAAGTTTCATTTGGATGTGCCATCAAGATGGTACATGATCAAATCTACATATACTATAATATTATACTTTCATGTAAATTACTTGAATCTGATTGGTCGAGAAACGTTTGTTAAAAAACACTATTACCCACTGAATAATGAAGCATGCCCTCCAGCGTAGCAACAGTCAACATTGCTTGATGACAGGTGAATTTATGCGCATGTTTCACTTTTGTATGTATTTATATAAAACATTCAGCATAATATAATAAATATTGCATGTAGTTGAGTGTAACATTGAAAATTTTCACCCCTCGAAAACCAATGTCAACCTCGGCTGCACCTCGGTTGACATTGGTTTTCTTGGGGTGAAAATTTTCAATGTTACACTCAACTACATGCAATATTCATATAATGTGCTTCAGGCATACTGTAGATTCCTAATTATATGCATGGAATTAATTATCGCATAATTTCGCGAGAAGCACCACCCGCGAAATAAAATTACTCGCTTTCATTTTTATGGTGCTGAAATCTTTGTAAAATCTCTTGATCAATCGTCCATTCACGAATTATTATTCTCGCGAGTAGACTTGAAGAGCCGATTTGTGATAATAAGTACCCGCCTAAAATTAGGAATCTACAGTAATAAGATTTGATCACTGGCCATGCAATATCCCAATGAAACTCTAAATATGATATCTTATTATACAAATATGGACTCAATGTAGGTCATATGCATTTATAATGACCCAGGATGACAGATATTGACCGAAGATACATGTAGTATATCGACCGAGGGCGCTCGCCCGAGGTCGATATACTTCATGTATCTGAGGTCAATATCTGTCATCCTGGGTCATTATAAATGCATATTGACCGTGCATTGAGTCCATATTTATTATATTATATAAATAATAATTTCCCAAATTTATTAGTGCAATGAATATCATCCTATTATTTACAGAGATAGTATTATCCATAAATAAGATGAATGTAAATGTTTCAGAATTCAATGAATATTAATCAGAGGAAATTGTTTCGGCAATAAATTTCCCATTCATAATAATGACGCAAGATATCTATCTCCGAATAACACAGAGTACCCCCTTCCCCAGATTGAGAATCGCTCTCGTTTACACTTGCAGACGAAATGCACTGACAAAATATAAATACCTATGTCATCTAAGAATAGATACAATCTTACATGGCATGCTTGTCTATATTTTCTTTAGTCTCCGTAATCGCGTAAACAGCGTCAAAACTCTGCTCGCCGCAGGGGCGTAGCAAAAGGGGGGGCCTGCCCCCCCCCACTTTTTTCCCAACCTTACTTATTCTATTGTAAGCCTGGGTGGCCCCCCCCCACCTTTAGTGATGTACGAAAAATGTAGTATTAGAATTGGTACTAAAAGTAGTTGACACTGAAAAAAAGGTGCACTTTTTACCCCCCCCCCCCACGAAATAGGATTTTCGACTTTGGGCAACTTTTTCCTTTTTTTTCCTTGCTTGTCAACTTTTTCAGGTAAATAATTTTTTTTTCTCTGAGTGCCCCCCCCCCCTTTCTAAAACGATGCTACGCCACTGCGCCGAGTGGAAAGGTCGAACTCAACCATGAAATGGTATGTGCTAATTATTCCTGAAAAAATTTCACAAATATCCTAGTAATTGTTTTGTATTATCAGTCTCAGAGTTCTTCAGTATATGTTTTAAATTTTCCTCACCTACAACTTGCGAACTTCCATGTTTGTCTAAAGCGAAAGTGAAAACGAGGCAGCTCGTGCGAGTCATTATTCGCTTTCAGCGGTCGTTATTAAAAAATAAGTACTTCGTATTGACCAATCAGATTACCGGATTTCACAAAGTTATATAATATTTCATAATAATATCACTGGTCTCAGTTTTTTACCCATTAGATGCACTCTGATTGGCAAACTGGTCTTATTTAATAGGGTGATTTCAGTTACAAATATCAAGAGTGCAAAGCTGAGGTCATTTTAACAAGAGATAAACTGCAACAAAAATATAATCCTACCTGGGACAAGATAACTTATGGTAGAATAGGCCGTGAAGTGAAAGTCCTCCCTCAGATAACCCCTGATCAACATCAGTGATACGATCCTCTCCAGTACGTCCCGCGTGACTGAGGGCAGATACAGACCGGTGACCTTGAACCCTCCCACTTTCTTTCCTTGGAAGGCATCCATCAGTTTTATTGCTGTCAGCCTTTCCTCCAGCCTAGATGCTTGCTTTAAAATTTCTATGATCAGTTGACAATGTTGTTTTACATCTCTTTTTTCTATCTCAGCTGTAACAAAGGAATGGACAAATACAGTTCACATTCATTTCATTTGTGTAAGAATTATATGTATATATGCTAGATGAGGGCTAGGTCCCCTCCTAAGTGCTTCTTGAAAAGGGATTATTATCCCCTTGCATGGAGCTGGAGGGGATATACCTGTAATAACACAACTGTGTGTGTTTGTTTATAAGTGAGTTTGTACTGTATGAAAAGTTATATGTAACTTGCATCAGGATTGACATGATCTTTGTGAGGGGAAGTTCCACCTTGCAGTTCCCTTGTTAATTTTATAACTCTAACCACATACATGTATCCCATTAAGACCAGAGAAGTAAAGAACTTTTATCCAAGATTTCACAGGGAACTCATTTAACTCATTCAAAACCAACCTTGAGTCTGACAGTGGTCACACATTTCCTTACAGTCTGATCTATCCCAGGATTCTCCAAAATGCTGAGCAATCACTGATCTCCGGCATCTGAAATTAGGAAATTTTATTCAAAACTTGCATTACTTCAATAAACTCTGAAATCAGATCAGTATTTATGTAGAGTATTGAAGTTCACCTGGTGAGATCCATGCAGTAAGCCATGATTCCATACAGATTGTCTAGCCCTGTCTGTTCTGTGAACACCATGGTGCTCTGTCGGAATATGTCTGCCAGTCTGTAGAACACAATACAGTGGGACTGCTTGTTATCTCGGCCCGCCCTCCCACTCTCCTGGTACAAGTTCTCCATGGACTTGCTAACAGAGTGGTGGATCACAAAGCGAACATCTGGCTTATCTATACCCATACCAAAAGCAGTCGTAGCCACCACAACCTGAAAGAATATAAAATCAGGGATGGCAATTTGAAATTTGTTAGCCAGTTAATCATTCAGAATTATGGCAATTTGTTAGAAAATCTCTAATTGTTTCATTGAAAAAATTGAAATGTGTGTAATATTCATTAAAAAAATTTCCTCATCAAGAAATGAGATCTACTTCCAACATAATTGTTTGCAAGCCTAAAAAATAAATTCTTAGAGCTATATTACAGCACTATGGTCAATGATAGTCAAGCTTAACAAGACATTTTCAGAATCTTTGGTTTCTTCTTATGTAGCTAAAAAAATCAAAACTTTAAATTCAATAACGGTTCAATATTTATATGTTGTATATACATGTATATAAACATATACACATGTACAATCATATAAAATATACAGCATGGATCTAAGAAGTCTGCTTTTAATTAGATTGATACACATGTGCAATGTACATGTAAATACTCGTGAACATGTATATTCCTATGGAAATTTTCTATATATTTGAAACAAACTTTTGTACCTTGATTTCATCTTTAAGCCACATTTTATGTACCCGACTTCTTTCATGAGAGCTGAGGTCTGCATGATAACACCCCGTTTTTATTCCTCTCTGTCGTAAATCAGCTGTAACATCCTGAGATTCTTTACGGGAAAAGCAATATATAATTCCTACAATATAAGCATAGTAATTTTAATGGTTTTTAGCAAGTGAATACATGTATTTATCATTCAGACATTAAAGGATAAAAACCAGTATTATCTTGACTTACCAGACTGATTGTAAAATCTCCTTTGAATGAGCCTCTGAATTTCATCCATGGCTTCTTTATGCTCAGATGGCTTTGATTTTATCTGGAGAGTACGAATGTGAATATCATGTAATCATGGTAATGTCATAATTATGAACTTCTTCAAAATGTGTAAACTACCAGTGATACTATAGATGTATTTCATTTGGACTACTTGTGATTTTGCTTGGGTAATATCTTGTTTCCAATGAACATTGAATAATTTAGCCTACCAATACATAAACTGGTCAATAGTTTTACCTCATAGAACAGATTAGGTCTATTGAAAGATGCCTTGAACAGTATGCATGAGGGAATATTGAGTATCTTCTTGACATCTTCTATAACATATTTAGTGGCTGTTGCAGTTAGTCCAAGAATGGGAACATCTGGAAACTGTCGCTTCATGATTCCCAGGAATTTGTAATCTGAAAACAATTCAGACAATTAATGAAAATATAACTGAGAAATTCCACTCAATCAGAATTTCAGCTATCCCTTTTTAAATATTCAAATAAGTTATGATTAAACACATTATGAAACTGAAAGGTTTGGAAATATTTTAAAAATTCAATGAAATTTTACTGGAACTTATATCAATCATTAATTACTGGTAAAAAATAACCAGTTGAAAACATTTAATTAGGGAATGTTAACCATGTTATGAAGAATATTACCTGGTCTAAAATCATGTCCCCATTGTGAACAGCAGTGAACCTCATCAATAACTAGATGTGAAAACCTTCCCATGGCGTACATTTTCTCCAGCTTGGCCATGAAGCGTTTACTCTTGGCCAGCTTTTCTGGGGTTACATACAGCAGTTTCATGGGAGAATTTTTATCAATCATGGCATTCTGGACTGCGGTCACTTTGTTTTTGTCTGTGGCGGCGTTTAACATCACCGCGTCGACGTCGTAACTCTCCAGAGCAATCACCTGGTCCTCCATCAGTGACACTAACGGCGACACGACCAGCGTCACACCTATAACAGGAAATATGTCAGGTTTAACAAGTCAGTAACTGCTAATATTAGTTTGTTTGTTTTTTTTAAATAAAAAGTTATGTCTATATGTCTTTGTCCTAACCCTCAGCCATTCCCTCAATCTTCTTTTTTTGACTAATATCAACCCACAAAAATAAAAGATTTCACAGTGTGAAAAAAGCTTCTTGAGATACTTATCACTATTTTACAATGTTTTAAATTCACTGGATGTTTTGATATTGATTTTACCTTTGCTTAGCAGTGCTGGAAGTTGAAAACACAGGCTTTTGCCTCCACCAGTAGGCATTATCAGAATACAGTCTTTACCAGACATGGTGACATTCATAGTCTGTAACTGCATTGGTCTTAACTCATTGATCTTGAATATAGTCTTCATTTTCTGTTTTAAGGCAGCACTCCATGTAAAATCTGAAATGTATAAATATTGCTGTGTTACATGTATTATATTTAATGCCAATATTTAACAAAATGTAAATACATATTCTAAGCATTGTATTTCATGCATTTGCTAGCCAAAAGCATTGCTTTTTCAAAATAATTGATCACATATTTAACCCCTGATCTTGTCCCTTTTCACTTTTACTTTTCAATGATTCCACAAATTACGTTGAAATGTGAGTTTCTTTTTCTTAAATTGACACCCCAAAACAATACTCGAGCATAAATCTTAATGATTGTGTTTATGTGCAAAGAATTCATTTTATTAGCTGTTTGCATGATGTTCATGTATAAACATAAAGTTGCAAACATATAGTTGACTTCAATGGTTTGTACACTTGCATGTATGTACTTTAGTATGTAATTTAGTAATCTGAAAACACAAAGTCACTGTATTTTTTTCATTTTGTATGTTAACATGGTTGTCAACTTGTTTGGTGAATCAATAAATGAATTAAATTTATTTAACTCCAATATTAAATTGTGGTGAAAAGTATGTTAATTCCAATTTCCTAGACACCTAGTTTATAGTTATATGCGGTAAATACAACTACAACAGTTAGATAAGGATTCCTGAAGATCACCTTCTGTGTTCCATTTCTGTGAGTCTGCTGCCTGTGATTGGGACTGTGTTGTCCTGTTGCTACTCGTCTGAATAAGCTTTTCTAGCTCTTCTTTCCTTGCTGCTAGATCTGACTGAGTCTGGAGAAGAGTCTCGATCTGGATTTCAATATCCTCCAACTGTTCTCTGACTTCCCTCAGTTCTTTTTTGTACCCTACAACATGCAGCAGTTGTACATATTATTTTATAAGACTGACGATCCAACAAACATCTACATTTATTTTCACTTTTATATCAGACATAAAAATATTTCTGTGTTGTCAGACAAACCTTCCATTATTTGGTACTATTCATAAACTCATCCATATTACTACAATCCACAGATTACAATCCACATATATTTTGAACACAAGTCTGATACACAGGGCGCATCCATATTGGAATTTCCCGGATTTCTTTCAATCGTAACTACTCGGTTATTTCCATTCAAACTGAGGGAAATATTGAGTGACTTCCGAAGGCCAAGCATACTAAAAATTAAAAGTATGCGATGAGAAAGTAAAATCCCGGATATTTGTCATTCTTTTTTTTTTACCTGTCAAAAGTATCTAAGTTTTCCAGTTAAGTATTCATAGAAACAGAAATCTCTGTTATTAAATTATTTGATTGAAGAGAAGCAACGGACAATAAGTCAATAACTCTGCAAATGAAGCAAGAGAGACAACTCCAACGGGTTGCAGTTTTAGTTTCCGTTTCAAAAATTTTATTCTGAGCATGACCTCATACTCTTTGTGACTATAACGAGAGAAACGGATGGAATTCGGTCATGCATTTGCTAATAAATCATCCTACTAAATAACTTCAATAATTTTTAATTCTTCAGATGAGTGATATACTGTGTTCTAATTAAAAGTTTTAAAGAAATAATAGATACTTTCCTAACCATTTATGAAGAATTTCAGAATTTCAGATGTACTGTATCTGAACAATCAACCAGACTCAAGTTCAACACCAAAGCAAATTATAAATTTTAATCAAACAAAACTAAAATAATTGATATACATGCACAACAGAATTATTTTCTTAAATTCTCTTCATTTATTTCAATTTTTTTAATTTCATACAAGAAAATGATAAAAAATGAATATGTACATATCAGTTTAACAATGTTTCTGATTCACAGACAGCAGATTAGGTCTCCTTTTTTACCATTTCCAAAAGTATTGTAACATTTTAGAATATAAAGGGAAAAGCTTCAGTTGCAAAATGAGGAGGATATAGCATGATTCTTGATTTTCCTTTAAAACAGTAGTCAAGGGCTCAAGCTGAGTACAAATTCTTAATGAAAATATTGAAAATCTAACCCTTCATGAATTTCATACATGATTAAGTTAAGGAAGTTAAAACCATTGCAGCTCAAGCATCAAGGGACACATGTAGATGGGACAAATTAAAAAATGCACACAATGATCAATCACAGGGGAAAATAAGATATAACAGTTACTATTATTATAAGATGTGATATTTTTCGTTGGCATTAACAAATTTCTGAATGAGAATATGTTTATAACATTTGGTCCAGTGCATGTAAGAGGAAATTATATACCCTGTTAGCTCAACAAACATCTTTTTAGTAATAAGTATACACGTACATATGTTCTGTACAATATATCTGTACTAAATAAAACAATATATGTATGTATGAAACTTTGAGAACATATCTAAGGGAAGAAAGCACTATTTCAACAAAGATTCAATGATCACAGCACAGTTTCAATATTATTCATAAAATTGATTTGTTCTACATTAGATTGCATTCAATAAAAGAAAATAAATGGATTTAAATTTTAAATGATGCTTGAAGCATAATACATGCATTAAAACAAAGCCTACCATGCAGTGCTCGAGCTGTGATTCGCCATTGTCGCCAATTGCGAATTTTTTTCAAAAGTGGCGAAAAGAAATTCATAAGTGGCGAAAATTAATTTTTTAGATGTACCATGTACAAAATTTGTGTAGTCCTGGTTAGCTCCTTTGTTTATTCAATGTACACAGATAAGTCCCTTTGTTTACTTAATGCAGCAGAGGTGTGAAAACTGAAACCTACATACAGGAAATCACGTCTCGCTTGAACGAACAATGCTGACTAGGTAACTAGCCTGGAGCAATAAAGGGTTACAAAATTGCTTGAAATAATATAATTTGGATTAAACAAGGGGGGAGAAAGTGTTATTCGGAGATGAAATTTATAAATAAAAGATTTTTATCAACAAAATCTGGATCTATGTAGATCGTTTTTTTTAAACCGAAAGTAGGGAAACATGACGAAAATTGTAAAGAATGGCTTCAAATTTTGCCTAATGTAAATTTAAAAAAGTGTACATTAATATACCATTAACTGACAAAGAGTGAAAAAGAAATTGGTTTGGAAACAGAATTATCTTTAGTTAGTAAATAAAACTGAGTTATTTACAATAACATGAGCTTGCATATTAAATCCTGGAGTCTCCAAGTTGTTAAGTTTCAAACCTAATTTTCATTACCTTTTAATTTACTTCTTTTCACAATTAATTAATGAAATGATGAAAATTTCTATTTTTAAACAATGTCATATTTTTACTAGGTCTGTAGCCCCCCCCCTTCCTTCCTAGGCGAAAAAAATATAAACAAGAGGACATTTTCTGTCAAGAGTTGGCCGATATCAATACAATATCAAATTAATTGTGTAATTCCAACATTATTATTTTTTTTCTTTTTTTTAAATGGATACTACCAGGTCCAGCACAATACCCCGATAAAGGTATATAGCTTGATAAAGCTATATAGCTTTATCAAGGTATTTAAAATACCTTGATCAAGGTATTTTATGTAATGAAAATTCAAAAAAATTCTTTAAAAATTAATTACTGAAAATCGAGTTCTGAGTTGTTGTCAGTAAATTCACCCATGCATGTAAAGTACTCAAACACAAACAAATCAGTATAAAAACGTGTCGTAAGAGAAGACGTTATTTTATGCTTTCTTTTTGATACCAGAGTGTTTTTCATGCACGAATAAACACACTGTCAAAAACTCAGAATTCGACTTTCAGTATTTAATTTTTAAAGATTTTTTTTGAATTTTCATTACATAAAATACCTTGATCAAGGTATTTTAAATACCTTGATAAAGCTATATATCTTTATCAAGCTATATACCCTTATCGGGGTATTGTGCTGGACCTGACTACCATAAGCTTTAAACATTACAATTTTAAAACAATATCTGTGTCAGATAAACATAATAAAAAAATTGAATAACAAAAAGTGCATTGCATTGTCGAGAAATCAGATGTAAGTATGCCTTTTCTTAAAGCTTGTGTCGCGAAAAGTGGCGAAAAATATTTTCGGTCCAGTGGGAGCCCTGCTACCATGTCATAACATACATTATTCATATACAAAAAAAATGGAAATTATAAATGTATACTGTAAATGTAACTACATTTCATTATAACATTTACCAACAAAAGAAACTGAAAGACTGCATAAAGTGGTCCAAATCAACATTCTTTCGTCTCATAAAAGTAAAAACAATCGCAAAAAAATCTCAACAAGATACTTTTTCCAAATGTACACTTGCATTGGCAAATGATCCAAAAGAAAAAAAAAACAATACATATTTGACCATTAAACACTCTCTTTTACACTTCAAAGTCAATATTGCAAAAATGTAAACTATTTAAAAAATATAATTCTCATAACTTGCAATAGAGTGTCCATTCTAGAATTCTGTAAACTGACATGAGTATGTCAACCATATTCAGTGCAAGGAGCAGTATTTAGGTCCAATGAAGGAATAATACTTGTTCATGTTAAGTTTATCATAAGACAGGGTATCAGCTGTTGACCTTGACATCTCCAATGTCCTTGGCCCCTTTGACCTCTGACCTCTCACCCCCCTCATCCTCTAGAGAATCACTGGTTTTCTCATTTGTTTCCATGTCAGATTCTTCTGAGGAGTCACTTGACAGAACCTGTTTCTCGTCTAATCGTTTCTTGATCTCATCAAGTCGCTTTTCAATGGATTCGTAGTTAAAACATCCTCTTTTCTCGCCAAATGGATCCTTCAAAGTAATATAACAATATAATTTATTAAAGGTGACAGTTTTAAAACCTAAACACAGAGATATATAAAACAACGTTAATCAAGACTTAACTTAAAATTTTGTTTCCTAGTATCTACATGTAAGCATCATTTTGTTTTACACAAATGACTTTGTAGGGTAGAAAATTATTTTTTGATTGAATATCTCTTTCAGAAATTTCCTACATCACTGCAAATCATATCTTAAATGTTTTCTAGATATATCATTCATACTGGATGTAGGCAAGAATTAAAACATAAGAATAAATGCCTGTGATATTATTCTTTCCTAAAGGATAGGAAATGTAATGTTAATTGTATCTAAAAACATACCTGCATAGTTTGCCCTTGTAGGTTCTTTTTTGAGGAACATATTGATTTGTAATAGTCATAATACTCAAAAAAGGATGTTTCCATCACCTCTCTAGAAAACAACAACAACAAAATAAATAAGTTAGCTTCAAAGGTTACTTGTACCACTTAAATCAAATGCATTTGACATTTGTTGATTAATGCAATCGATCACTAAAGCCTTAGATTTTATCATATGAATTGTCCCTTTCACTTTAAAGTATACAATTTAAAACCTTTTCATCTGCTTTTCTTAGATATTATTAAAAAAAAATACATGTACTGTACATAAAATATCAAAAAAAGAAAGAAAGGAAGAAATACAAACTTCAAGGTGTCTGGACAAGTACACCTTCCCTCTAACATATCACAGACAGCTACTCGGAGTGTTTCATGTTGTATAATCTCATTATATCGCTTCATGTCCCCAGCCATTCTCTCCTGTAACATATTTCAAACTTTTCAAATCAAGTGTGCATAAAAATTCCACAACATATATACTGTGGAGCATCATTTATCCAGACACTTGGGTTCCCAGTCAATTTGTCCGGATACAGTACAGGCCACGAGTTTTCCGCATCGCTCGGTGGAAAAAACACCGTGTGAAACGCTCTGTGTTACACCGTGTACACCGTGTAGCACGGTGTGTGTGGATTTGAAATATACAGGTAGGCACACCGTGCCGCACCGTGTCTAGAAAAATCTCAGCTAATGTCCTCCGTGTCGCACCGTGTCCAGTAAATTTCGCTCCGTGTCGCACTGCGTGTCCAGAAAATTCTCCTCCAAGCTGCACCGTGTAAATAGTATTACAGATAAAATCGTTTGTTTCTGATAAAAATTTACGAATAAATTTTGATGACAATTTATAACTTTGGTTTATGTATATATAATAATCGTTTTTATTCTACCAGATATTGGACTCTGAATGGCACGCATGATATTGAGATTAAATAGCGGTAAAAAAAAATTGAATTATTTTCATTTGAATTAACTGTGTGTCTAGAAATTTATATTTTAGTAAAATTATTCATCCACATTACATAATTAAAATTAAGAATTTTATTTCAAATGAATAATTTAATCTCATGTGTTCATGTAACAAAGGAAGACGAAATGGCGTCGAGCTGCATTCGTGACACATACACTGTATAGTATAAAAATCCGAGCTGTATTTATGTTCATGGTTTTAACATGTACAGTACTAGTGTACGATCCAAGCATTATTATGTATATTCCTTATCAAAATACATTTATTTTGTTCATCTTGAATTATTCTGAATGTGGTGCGAAAATCGTCAGCAGAAACACGAAATTAATGCAATAATTTCAAAGCGCATTTCTCGTAACAGCAAACATTATTTTCAAAGCGTAGCATTCACTACGTTATGTTTTTAAGATGCTTTCAGTGTAATTAATTATTTTAAAAAGATCTTCTTTATTCTAATAAGTTTTTCTTTTCTTGTAAAGTGTATAAAAAGCAATACCAGAGAGAGAGAGAGAGAGACTCATACAACCCCCTTCTAATATAACAGAGTGTAATTTCTTTTTAATTCTTCGTTTTATTTAAGTTACGGAGGTCACAATTAATCATTCTATAATTCTATTTAATTGCCACAATTTTTGTTAAATATTCAATCCATTTATTGCAATCAGTTCGTTCTCTGTATATGCTGTATGCACAAAATTCTCGTGTATCACCTGCCAATGACGCTAGGTGGCCTTAAAAGTCTGTTTACGCGGAAAGAATTTCTCTTGTGATTTGAAACAATCTTATGGTCAGTTCCGAGTCGCACCTGTTTAAAAAATATATTGGGCGCCGTATGTTTATCACACCTTTCAAATTCTTTAGCTCTGACCACAGCTAGTGTATACATGTAACACACTCAACTGATATCATGCGAAATTCGTCTTCCAGGTTTCACGACAACAACGATTATAAACTTACATGTACTTTGTTAAATTATTTATCCTTTTTCAGAAAAAAAAATAAGTATGTATCCCGTAGATTTAGATTTTAAAAAACACAACATAAATTTGCAGACTTCTGATAAAGTTTTAACCAGCTGATTCGTATCGCTTTCTAGAAGGGAGGGGGGATCGCTAAATATCTATATGTTTTCTCAATCCGTTTTTTTTTTCTCTTTTCATTTTTCACACGATATATTTCAGAATGAAATAATATTCTTACTGAAGTAAGTACATTTCACTTGCCAAAAATTCGGCTGTGATTTTTGTATTTAGCGTGTTTACTAAGTTGATCACTATTTTAGTTAACGAAATTTATCAGATTATCATCTCTGCCTGTTCAGTAGATTTTCGAGTTTACCGCATTTAATTTTTATCTATATATTTTACATAATTACAGATTTTTAGTGTTAGTCTTACTGCAATAATCATTATCTGAACCTGTCCAATGATTCGCCGAGTATCGGTATCGGTATCAAAGAGCAGAATTAATGTGCGAGTCTGATACGTTTTTTTTTTAAATTATTCTAGACACAGTACATATACACACTCGGATTTCCTCGGATGACTCGTACCTCGCACATAACCTCGGACGTCAACGGTGATCTTCCATCTTGCTGTTTAGGTCATGTGATCTTATTTGAATTTCATTCAAATGTCATACATTTGAGATCGGAGTTATTGTGTGGCGCTCTCAACAGTTTGTTCTAGCTTTCAAAGCCTACGTACATGAGGTTGTAATCAATACCTGTTTACGATAAAGAATTGCACAAATTAAGAAACATTTTCAAAGAACGTAATGCAGAGCGAACTATGAAATGCGTGATAAGGCAGTTTCCGGCGAAGAAATGTAAGGATTTGATGCGTATTCCTCCACTAATCACATCCGAGGTTTGAATGGAGCGTAGCGGAGTCAGCCGAGGATTGCCGATTGACATATACATGTATATTTAAATTCTTACAAAATAATTAATTCACTTAGTATAATCACGCATCTGATATGTACTACGTATGAATGCATACGTAGGGAAAAACGATCTTGTATCAACAATTTAAATGAACACGGTTAAAATCAAAATCGAAAGTAGAGACAATGAAGTAATTCATTTATGAAAGTGTGTTTCCTCTTAGTGTTATATAATAATAGTCTATTGAACTTTTCTATATATTCGATCAATGCATACTATCTTTGCAAGATATATAACTGTATTCAGCGGCAGCTCACACATATTGGTCCGACCAAAATAATTCCATCATGATAAGTAGATACAACATTATTGTTCATGATAAGAGTAAAGTTGTGTATGTCATACGTTAAAGAAATCAAAAATAACGTCAAAATATCATTAGAAAGTCACTTTCCCCCCGAAATGCAAATAAAAAATATCAATATTCCTACGCTCGCTCCCTCCTCAGCCTTTTTTTTTTTTTACGTGTTTGATAACAGAGAATAATTAGGTCATTCTTCGATTCATATCTTTTCACCAATGAATTGATAATACTATATCAACAATTGTATTAAGTACATGTTTATAGTCCGTTAATTATCATACAATTTGTTCTTAAAGAAAAAATTAATCATTCTGTGTGTGTGTATTATTAAATGACGGAATTTTCAATCCCTGGCCTGCTCGTGTGTACACTTTGTAAACTGTAGGGTATGTGTGGCAAAACGAGAACTGCATGGGTTGGAGATTCGGGTTCGTGTTGAAGTTCAGCATACCATTATATATAGAACTTGAATAATGTAAGTAATTTCTGCGACAAATATATTAGTATATTTCAGTTATTTTCAAAACAAAAAAGGTTTTCCATGTTTTCAGTTTAGAATTTTCTGACCCGGTCCTGATTTTCCCAACCCGGCCATTTTAAACACAAGTTGTTGCAGATGCAAATGTTAGAACAAACTATATAAAGTTCAACAGGGATTGTATAATTTTTATTAATCAGAATTCGTATTTATATGATCTAATTAAGAAAAGAAAAGTTTTGTCTGACACCGTAACTTCTCGGCAAAACAAAACGTGTTTCTCCGAGCTCGCTGGATGCGTGTGACAGCTCCATTGCACGTGTGTAGACCAAGGCTACAGGTACATGTAGGCCTATCTGTACTGTTTGTTAGGAGACTGGGTGACCGTAATGCTATGGAATCACGATATTTACAACAGTTCCATAATTAGACAGTGCAGTTTTTTTTTTATTAACGTCATTATAAACACTGTTAAACATATTAAATCTAACAGTCGAATATCTTTGGATATGGGGTAACCCATATCTATTCTTGTTATGACTAATACGAGGGTCATTCAAAAAGTTCGTAGACTTTTGTCGTAACTTTGTTATTTAACGTCATATTACATCCAAATTTAGTACACATATTTTAACTACTAATTCGAATAATTTGAGTTAAAAAATTGGAATATATCTTCATATTTGTACAAATTATCAACGATTTAGAACACCAAAAATGGGGTCATGGAGCATAGTCAAAATTGAGTAATTTACAGATTTTCAGTTTATAGTATCTATAGCCAGAATTCGAATAAATGGAGTCGTAACAAAATAAAATTTACATGTTTAAATTCAGTTTTGCTGAATTACTTAGGATGATATCAGGTACTGTAATACATCGTTCCGTTTAAAAGGTATCAGTCTCTAAATACATTGGACTTGATTAAAAAAGGCAAAAAACCATGACATTGGAGGACGTCACGGAGCAGCGTGTAGCAATAAAATTCTGTTTTCCATTCGGGAAACTTCTTTAACAAACTTAAAAATATCTAATATATAAACGAAAAAATGCATGAAAAATTAGCCGTGTATTTGTATAAAATGGAAAATACAATTTTTGAGTGGTAGCAAGTTTAAATCAGACGATGGATGGTCTGCAAAGAAACATGTTATAGTTGAAAATCTTGTTAAAAGAGTTAAGAACGTCATTAAACGTGATGTGCGTTTCACTGCTTCTGGAATAATAGGGTTCCGCGGTAGGCCTAAGGAATTTTGAAAACAATGACAATCTAGTTCAAACTATTTGCACAATTGTAAGCAAAATAAGTGTTTAGTGTTATGGATGCATTTTTATGAATGGAGAAGACGCTACAAACTGTGTATGAAATTAAAAAGCAGACTAATTTTGAGAAACTTTTTCAACGTCGTTTTGACGTTACAGTATTGGTTAATCGTGCTCCGTGGCAACAAAACATGTTGTTTTAAAAATTGGCTAGCATGTGTTCAACTGAATCAAATCAAATGAAACTTCACACATCGACAAACTAAATGTTTTTATTTACGAAAATGTGTTAATCTATACTCTTGTAATAATAATGTGACGATGAGGAACATTGTCTACGTATTTTTTGAATGACCCTCGTATAATTAGAATTTAACTTGAAACGTGATTGTACATTTTTTTGTTGCTGGACACGAGTACGTTGTTATTAAATTTTAAGGCATCTTATTAATTGAAAAATCTGTATGCGATAAATTACTAAAATTAATTTATGGAAAAGTACAACAAATATTTCAAAAGAAAGTTGATTTAATTTTATTAAATAAGGGCAATGAAAATGTTTAAAATATTTATCATCAGAACTGCGACACACCGTGTTACACGGTGCACAGAAACGACGACTTCAAAGGCGCCGACAAGATTCGAGGTCCACGCTAAAGCGTGGACTTGCGGTCCACGGGGCCCCGTGTTTTTTGCGGAAAACTCGAGGCCTGTACTGTATGTGAAGCATCTGGATACCTGAACCACCAGTTAAACAAGACAAAATAACATTTTAAAAATCTGTTCCCATGAAAAATCGTATGGACACTGAAGCATCCGGATATCTGAAGGTCCACTGTATTAAGCAATTCCTAAAATATGTTTCTTTATTTGATAATGAATGTTTGAAGGTTTAACAAAACAATTGTATGCACTAGATATGTAGAGTTAGAGTGGGAGTTTGTCTTAATCACATACTTTCTTTTATGAAAAAAAGGCTTTCTTTATGGGAGGTGGAGGTGAAACAATTTATTATGATACCCTTTCAAATCCAGGTTCATTGTGGTATGGTTTTTCGTTCATTAAGGACTGGATTGAGATCAGAACACTGGACAGACTTTGTGCTGGGCTCCACGCGGGGCCTGACCAAGTCCTGTAACAAAAGTATAGGCTGTAAAGTCTGTATAAGTTTCCAGTACAAAGTCTTCAAATTGTTTAAGATAAAAAAAATATTTCTCTTTCTAGGTTTTTCATTATGCAAGGAACTCTGTCAATATTTACAATTATTATAGTAAAGTAACAGGGTGCATATTCTAATGCTGTATGTTTTCTAATTGACACATATGCCTTTGGGACAAAATCATAGTTGACATTACTTAATCTATGTCTTAATTTGGTCTACCTTGACTTAATCTGATATTTTGACAATGAAATTCACTAAAATTGAAGAACCTTAAAGTTTAACATATACCTGGTAATCACACATTTACTGACATCAGTAATATCAGATGTACATACCCAAGTATGCTTAAACAGACTTTTCCATTTTTATAAAGGTTAGGATTAAATCGGACTTGGTTATCTCCCGTTGTCATGAGTTTCACTCGCGGGGGTCTGATTGGATAATCAGGGGGACATCGGATGATGAAGTAGAAAAATCCTCCTTCATATGGAGTATCAAAAGGTCCTGTTATCAATGCATGGATCTGAAATGGAGTTTTTTAATTTTGAATTGTTGTGACAATTGACATGAAATTAGTCCTTTCAAGTAAACATCAAATCCAATATACCATGGAAATGATAGGGAGGTAAATTGTAATACATGCATATTCCTAATATGCAATATTTCATGTAAAGGTAAAGCAAAACCAGTCTTTGTTTCAGCATTAGCTAATAAATATTTAAACATTTATAATTTCACTTTGGAAATTTTTTTAAAATATTTCCAGTAATTTTTTTAATATTCTGGACAAATCTTTTTTCACCCCACCTTTTGTAAGTCGGAAGCAATCTAAAGGCCTGTGGTTCTGGACAGTCAGACCTGACTGATACATGTATCATGCATATGAGCATAATAAATTCTAGCATACACAGAAAAGAAGTGAACATGTCTGCAAGCTTACCACAGTCATATCCTCTTTGTGTGGTACTATACACATACATGGTGGTGGTTCATTATATATCGACATGATGTCTCTGAAAAAAAATCAAAGCTATATAATAACTTTTTGTTTTACATGTAAATTTATCTAAGGATGTTCAAATCCCTCTGATGGTAAGTCATCTAATCACCAAGATCACAGTCTTGGTCAGTTGACACTGAAGTGAACTGATTGGATGAACATGCCACTTGTATATGTTTTACTTTTTGTATACTACCTGTTAATGAGATCTTTTTTGGTTGCCAAAATAATTTTGGGTATATATATAAGAAGTTTAGAACCTGGACCACACAAGGTGAACTATGTAAAATTAGGAGGGATTGAGTAAAAAAGATGTTATGAGATGCATGAATGCAGAGAAGAGACTTTTACTACTGAAAATGAAAGAGCTACCATTTGAGAATTGCAATGGAATGGAACTGAATTTTGATTTATTACATGATGGAGAGTGGGCTGGTCTGATGTGGAACACTGATGTGACATACTGTAGATGCTTTTAAATTACTTTAGGCGTTAAATGTTCAATCAATGCATTGATATCAATGTTTATAGAGTCAGTGAAAGACTTAATTATACGACTGTCTATGCAGGTGTGTGACGAAAATTGACGACATAGCTATAAAATTTATATAAACATCACAATTAATGTATGTATATAATCATAACATTTTGAGTATTTCCACAGGACTATAGTGACATCATAGTCCAATTCATGAATATATTTAAGTCGACTGTCTACCTTTTTATTCTCATTAAACATTGTGACGTAGCCTTTTCCTTAGCCCAGTCAACAGAGTTCGTTGGATCCCAGGACGATCCTATGTTATTGATGACTTCATCGATAACAAATCCCAAAGTTTCGTTTCCTTCGTCGTCAGTTTCCTCCAACTTGGAGGCTGCCATCTTGATTGGTTAGCCTAAAACACGAATAAGTTCATTGATCGCACTAATTACACAAACGAATATCAAACACGAATGTAATTTTTTTCATTTGTTATGATTTTTTTATTTTATTATTCTTTGTTGTCTATCTATTTCATTATTTTTTTTCTAATTTATTTTAATTTCCTTTTCTTCTATTTCTATACAACATTGAATTTTGCAAACATTGAAATTAACATTTCACTGCTCAAGGAGACAAATATGTTAAACGTTATTAATAAAAAATCATTTACTATTATTCCCTTTTTGACTTTATATAACATTTACATATATTTTTTTCCACACTTCTCTAGTTGTATGATATACTGTAGTGGGGGGGGGGGGTGTGAATGACAAATTAATATATATATATACATGTTGTTCCATTTTCTTTGGACATGTATTGTTCATAGGTACTTGAAAACAGGAAACCGCATCCCCCTAATAAGATGTTTGTTTTAGATAATTTTTCGAAATGATGGTACATGTAGATCTACATGTGTGGATTATATATCACATCAGTTATATTACATAGAAATATATCTTATGAGAAAAAGTCGAAAAGGAAGGGGGGGGTCTATATATAGGTCCTGTTCTCACCGTTTCAAATGCACCTGTACGTGGCATGTACATGCAATGCCATTCATCCAAGTTTCTTTTTAAATGAATATCATTTCAGAACAATAAACATGATTAATAATTAATAAAGGTAAAACATAAAGAGCTCTGACCATCATGCAGTTCAACAACTTTAGAAGTGCCATAAAATGCTGAAAATAAATACATTGTACATGTATTATACCTTTACCTGGATCATTGTCTAGAGCTGCCTCTGTCAATCTGTTTCCCTTATAAATCAGAAAATGGTGAACAGATTTCGTCCTGAATGAAAGAGTGGATTATATTTTAATCAATGCGCAAAGTGTACAGTTGTGTTTCAAAAGAAAATGCAAAATATTAATGTGTATTGTATATTGAATAAGATGTAAATGTGTACAATGTATATTTAGTTAAATATGTGTATATGCTATAAATTACACTTATAAGTTATATGTATAAAGATGTGCTGGAACTATATTTTTAATAGAAGATTAGGGGAAAAAAAGATTAAATACTGACATAGGAGCATGTAACTGGAACATTGACAACAGGAATTTGTCTAAAATAATTTTTAGGATACATGATCGACCTCACCCACTTAACACATTCATAAAGGCCTATTTAAATTTAAGTTATATATTAATTGTATTTTTTTTCTTTCTGACTCAATGCATTATGCCGGCTGATGAAAATAACATGAATTCATGAATTTCGTAATTTTAAACTTTTGTTAATCAATATTAATAGACTTTGGATTTTTTTTTTCAATTTCGATATTAAAATTCCTCAATGCAACTACCAAATGAATAAGTTGTGTTTGTGAAACACTATGCACCCGGCGACAACAAAGTTCGTACAAGGTATTTTTAGCATATAGGTCACGGTCAAGGTCACAAGGTTATTGACCTTGGTGTCATTTGAAAGAACTTAATTAGTGGAGTATGCATATCAAATTTAAAGTCTCCATTTCTATGGTTCAAAAGTTATTGCGAAGATTAAAGTTGACAACAAACAGACAGACAGGACAACAACAATATGCACCTCCGATCTATACTGATGATCGATCGCATAAAAAACGAGAAAGGAGACATTAATTTTCTAAAACAAAGCATACAATGCCGAGAACTGTTCTTAGGTCTTGTGGAGTCGCTATTTTGTTGATGAATATACAAATAACCCTTTCATTAGGTCAATCCATATAGATACATGTATTTATATCGACTTCAAAGAAAAGCATATCTACCGAGCAGGAAGAAGAATGAAAGGATTACATTTGTTATTCTATTATTTTTATGCCCTGGATCGAAAGATCCCGGGTAATATTGTTTTTGTCTTGTCCGTCTGTCTGCCTGTTTTTCTGTCTGTCTGTTGTCAACTTCAAGCTAGCCCATAACTCTTGAGTGGTCGGGGCTATGGCTTTCATATTTCACAGGTGTATTCCTTGTGAGAAGACCTTTCTTTGGGTACCACCAAATTTGACCTCTTGACCTTGGAGTTTGACGTACTCTTACAAAAAATACTACACTTTAACCTTGGCCATAACGTTTGAACAGTCAGAGGTATAGGGCTTTCATATACTTGATATGTATATTAATTTTGACAAGACCTTTCAGCTGGTATAAACGTTTTAGACCTTGACCAAAGAGTGTGACCCTACTTTTTAAAAACTTTAACTAATTGGTCACAACTTTTGAAAAGTTAAAACCAAGGCTTTCATATTTCACAGGTATTTCTTGTAACAAGACTTTCCTTGGGGTACCAACACTTTTAATTTGATTTTTTGACCTCGACCTTTGGAGTATTGATATGGATTTGGCAGATTTTAACCCTCGCCATAAGCTGCCATACGGGGGCATCAGTGTTTCACAAACACATCTTCTTTTGTACAGAAATTAAGGAAGGTTCATACTTTTACGGATCCGGTTTTAATTTTATACACTAATTACTAGTACATTGTACTACAGTATATAATTCTGGTTTCACTTGTCTATCAAAATAATTTTGCCATTTAATTGTCAGCAATACCACAAGTACTAGTATGTGACTGTTTATTTAATTGCTGTTGTGTAAAAGGTATCTAATATTTATGAAAATAACGCTGAAGATACACTCTGTCCATTTGATATAAGTCATTTTATAGCACAGAATTCTTTTTTCGTCTGTGTATGGGCCAAAATTTTTAGCATTTTTCATACAAATTGACTTGAAATCTATCATTAACAATTGTACCACTTTTCATTTTTTTTTTTCAAGTTTTGCATAAAAATAGTGTAAAACTTGATACTTAAAATGGGAATATACGTGTTCAAAAGACTGGTTAACCATGATAAAATATGATTTTCTGAAGGATCTGGGCAGAACCAACATCAATTTGATGATGTTTTCTAGTTAAAATAAAAAATTTTCTTGGCAAATGAATATTTTAATTTCTCAAGTTTTTATATAATATTGATGTGCTTTGGTGTCCATACTTCTCTACAGTAAATTTAAGGTTCATAAATACTCCGATAAGAGAGATAACTTTTAATGATATAAATGTCTACATGTATTATTCCTTTATAAATTTGAAAAGTCTTTTTGTCCAATTTTGTCCAGCAAGCTATGGTTTAATTGTTTGTATTTTATTTATAGAATACAGTTCCTTTGGAAAATCATTAAGGTTCAAGCAACATTTTATATGAGTGAGGAGAGGGTTTTATGAACCTTAAGCTGTTGAATTTTGAGGGGTACATGTATATACTCTGAGAAGGCTTTAGGAAAATAAGCACGGAAAGATATGTCTTTTTGGGCCTTTTAGTCAGTTTAGGCGCTATACATGTATTTAAGGCATTCAAAGGGGAAAAGTATTATGTAATAGTTTATTCAGAATATATCTTTGGGCAATACAGCCCATCAGTTTACAAAATAACAAATAGTACATGTTACATATATTACAATGACTCTCAATAAGTTTAAACTTGGGGGGGGGGGGGCAGGTCAAGTGTTCCTTAGTCCCACAGGTCTACTCATTTATAGAATACAATTATACTAATTTTAGATATATGAGATTAACAGAATTTTTGAAAGTCTGGACCTACCTTAACAAAACAAAATTTAAAAATAATATATACATATGAACAAGTCAAAAGATTTCCCTTTCATCCTCTTTATAGCTTAAAGATAAAAAAAAATTAATTTATAAGCTTTTTATCCTTATTGTGTTTCCTTTTTACTGATAGAGTAATGCAAAAATTTCAAAGGCAACAATTTTCTTGTGAAAAATTATGAAAAACATAGAATATATAGGAAATAAATTCTCAATTAATGCTACTTCGACCCTGTTTCCCCCCAAATTGCTTACTATTTCCAATAAGTATTACTTTGAACTTTAAACATATTTTCTTGAATAATCCAAGAAGGATTGGGAAACAGACAAAGCCTAATATATGCAAACCCTCTCATTGTATAACAGGACAAGACAGAGCCAATCAATAATAATACTCGGTACTTGTACATGATAATAAACAAATACTATACGTGCTAATAATAAAAAAAAAATAAAGATTCACAATCAAGTATTATTCATCAATAAATTTTGCATATTACTGTTTCCAATTGGTAACTAAAAAGCGCCGAAGAAATTAAGATGAAACTTTTCTTTTTACAATAACTTCATATTTCTTATGAAGTACACATAATCACAGTCTGTTGTCTTCGAAATATCTCTGTTTCTTTTGCACCGACATGAAAATATTTACCCATCCATGTGGCTCCTGTACATTACAGAATGAATTCAAATTCGACAGATGCTAACAGTAATTCCGCTTTTAATGCACAGTACTTAATTCATTTTTTTCCCAGTTTTTAGCGATTATAAATACTTTAAATCCTCAAGTTCTTTATTAGGTTTTGAACTTGTAGACAATGCCAGTAATTAATCTTGATAAGAATTGCAAAGTTCTCAACCTTAAAAATAAACGTTTACGTTAATTGACTTGTACCTCCTATGATCAAGCTGATCAAATAGACGTTGCATGTTTGTATCATTTCACACAATTCTCATAAAGATGTTTCATTTTTAGTTTAAATGCTGTTTAAGGTTTTTTTAATTGCAGGAATTTAGGTGGTAGCCATTTTGATACCAATAAAATGGTCACGTGATAATTTGTCAAAGTGCATTCATTCTAAATATAAATTCTGGAAAAGGGAATTTCCAGACTTAATTCGGGAACGGGTGAGCAAAATAAATTTGATTGTGAATTGTTGGAATGACAATTTTTTGCAATTATATTGCAGACTTGTAATTTGTAAAAGAACGGAAATTGAAATAAATTTTCTCGAAAAATTGTCATCATGTAGCGTTAACATTTTGTGTTTTACTTAGTTTCTGAGGCGGGAAACCCCAGCTCCAACTCGCTCCCCCCCCCCCAAAAAAAATCATTTTAATGACGTTTAAAACAGAACAAATTAAAGAACACACACACCGATATACACAACGACAGATATAAAAATCAAAATAAATAATTAAATATAAGCAGGGATTATGTCCAAGATATTTTTAAAAAAAATCTAGTATATATGATTAACAGTTTATTAAAAATTTTGCAAAGAAGCAGATAAAAATATTATTTTATTTATAACAACTTTGTGCGGAAATTCTCTGATGTAGCATGTAATATATATTTTATTTGATAGCTATATGTGCTCCACATTCTATTTGAATATGTTCTTTCCAGCTATGCTATGCAGTCGATCTTATTAAATTCAAATATATTTAGTTTATATAATTATTATATCAGTAATATTTACATGATTTGATTTACTTTTTAATAAAATTAACGAACACTAACATCACAGTCACAAAAATAGAAATTATTTTTGTCTCTGTTAATTTGAAACAAATGTCTAAAAACAAATGACATTTAAAATAATTATACCGGTTTTCTGCGCACTTTCAGTAGATATTTTGCAAAAGTGTATTTTTATTTATAAAAAAATATTTTTAAGTGATTAATTTACATACATTTTAATTTAGACATTTTCTCGTGTTGTTTTACAAAATTGTTGGGATAAAGTCTTACTTTAACGACATCTTCCTGAAAAATACACAATACAATACTTTTGCTAGTTTTGGCTTTTGAAAGAACGCCAATATGTGGGATGGGCAGATAACTATATGGGGATTCACCTAAAATTTTGAGCATTAGGGACCATTTACATAATGCTTTCCAACATATCAAATGGAAAAATTATAATGACACAAATTCCTTTCTGTTTCCGATTTTTTTTCTACTGAATTTTAAAGAAATGAAATGGTAATTTAAAGATTCTTCTTTGTTTCAATTAATTTTTTTTATTTGAGAAGAAGTATGGGAAAAATAATAAATTGGTTCACAATGTTGCAAAAATTCAGTCGTGTATGTTTCTTTTAAATTCAATGTACTTCACGTAAGATTTTCATGGCAAAATTTTTATCTTATTTTGATTAAAATAAAGTTAAAGCCTGTTATCATAATCATTTCCTGGAAAAGGGCTTTAAAATTTTATCGAATATTGACACGAACCCTCAAGACAAGAAACCGGAATTAAGAGTGTGGTAAAAGTAGGCCCCACAATATTTTTTTCAACAAAATGTTACAATCAGAACTCTATAAAAATAAATTATTCCCAAAATAATCACATTAAGGAGTTTCGAAAAAATGTAAAATTGTATTTTTAACGTTAATTTGTTTTTATCATTCCACTGCCATCTACTACGCTACCCATAAGTTCTATAAATACCACCATCCCGTTGAACTTCCTCTTTCGATAGCGAGAGAAAACATCAAAACTGGGAAGTTATGTATTCCAAATTCCTTTAACAAGAACTTTTCATGATTTTTTTCACAAACAGAAAAGACAAATCTTCTATTGGATAAATGTTATGAAGGTAATTTTCATTAAATATCAGTATATTCGAAATAAAGACCCACGCGTGCTTATGTGTAATCTTGCAATGCACTTCATTCTGGAATACCAGAGTTGATTTGTTTTGTTTTTGATAATTCAAATTATTAAAAGCAACAAACTTTCAACACACCTAAAATTGAAATTTCCAGCCTCATTATTTGCTGTTGTTAAAAGTTTTAAAGTACATGCGGAATGTCGCTTGTACACGAAGAGATGACATACGTGTAATGTAGGTGGATCTAATGATATTATGGGCATACCACTTGTTTTAATGATGACGAATGGTGCACTTATTCATCATGTTCACACCATTGGATAATTTCTTGTTAGTATTAACGTCCATGACTTCACATCACATTTTTTTCTGTAGGCATTATATTGATTTTTTTTTTAGCAATTAAGCAATCATGTTTCACATTTAATGTAAAATAATATTAAATGATATCATTGGATACATACACACTGTATTTATAGATATTATGCATAAATTTGTGCATTAGTTTCATCTCCAAAAAAATTTATTAGTTAACTCAAATTTATTAGTCTAGCTTGTTCCAGCAGAAAATAAATAAATAAACAAGATTACCATAATTACTATGAAACAATACTATTGCATTCTATTTTCAAAAAATTGAAAAGGAAGTGAAAATTTCTTGTTTCCAGGTAAAAAGACACATGATTATGATTTCATCTAGCAGGTTTGTGCAGCATGTGTTGTATTCCTATTTATTCCTATGTGTATATTCCCCAGTATATGTTCAGGTAAATAGCAAGAATGATAATTGTGGGGCTTGCAACATTTTCATTTTATTTAAATCTTATGAGTTAAAATACATGGCTCCATTCAACTTTTGAGCCTGTCAGTTCTTTATAAGTTTACCTTGTCATGCATGTACAAATAGCATTTTTAGCGACTAGATATATTTTAAATATTTTTTAGAACACAAAGACAGAACGTACAAGTAATTGGATTTACTGCTGTAGAAGAAAGTAAAGGAACACCCTCCAAGGAACCAGGCTATTTTATTCTGCTCTAATTTTGGTAGATAATTTATACATGAACCTCAATTTATGATAATGTATGGGAGTCACTTGAACATATGTTCAAGTATATCTAAGGTTGAAGTTATGCATTACATTGTACACACTGAAGCCATTGACAGTAAGAAAAGGTACAAAGTTCAAGATGAAAACATTGAGTTAAGCTTTTGTTAATTATTACAAAAATGAGAGCACAAATTCTGTGTGCATGCTTTATTGAAACAAATTCAGGAATATACACATAATAAAGTCATTAGGTAGGTAGGTATAGGTAGAATGTCAATTTTTTCTTGCTTTGATAGCTCTACCCTTTTTCATATCCAATATTAAGACGTTATATGTAACAGAACATGTAACCCTCATTTTACTTTGTATTATGAAGACTATCAGGTATTCCATTTATTTTGTCTCTTTCACCAAGTACACCATATCACAATGTAACCACTGTTAAAACTGAAAGTTTTCCTTTGAAATTTTAAACGTCCTCACACAACCTTGTCAGAGCTGTAATTTGACAACCTTCAAGTTCCTAATCTAGCCAATGATTTTTGACATGTGGGTGTATTTCCAGATACATAATGAGTCATTCTTCATCTTATTACATCTTCATAGTAAACCTAAATGTTAAAAATGTCCTAGCTTGCTTTTTGATCTTGGAGGCAGATTATCAAGCTCTTGTAAGAATTAATCTTCAATGCCATGCCAGCTTTGTTCATGATCATGTCTCTAGTTCAAAGAATGAGGGAGGAGGAGAGGTACTGCATTGTTTTATCCTCTCTGTAGATCTATCATTCTGTTGACTTTATAAATTAATCTTTCTAATAACCTTTGAACCGGAACTTAGACATCCTATTTAGAAGAATTATAGAAATGAATGAGGACTCATATTTTTAGGTCCCGCTTGTCTGTCTGTCTGTCATTCAGTTCCTTCAATCATGTCTGACTTATGACTTGCAGTGTTGAAGCTTTGGAATTCCCTATTTTACTTGATCATTGCTTGTAACTTTTTTAACATAAGGATATGTCTTGACTTTAACCAACAGCATTTGATTAAATCCAAGATTTTGACCAAATATAATGTACATGTACATGTGGCATGATTAGGGTCTGTAACTTTCTACTGAAGAAAATCTTAAAATGCCATAATTCACACAAAGATTGCTAATGACTTGAAGGTGTGTCATGACCTTGACCCAGAGCAGTTTTATAAAGATTATGGTCATTTTCAGATGTCCTTTCCTTGCCATGTTCTGCAATGAAGAATGAATCATGATGTAGCTCATGCTCGATGCAAGGATTATGTTTTTTGATTGACCTGAGTGTTGTGCCATGTTCTTCACCCAAGGTCATTTGGAAAAGTTTCTCAAGGTCTTTATAAGAAAAAAAAATGTAAAATGCATGTTCATGATGCTGGTCAATTATCATATGGAGAATCAGAAATTTTTATTGCTAACCAAGAAAACTTATGAACTGAGAGTTAGCCATTATCAGGTCATAGAAAAAAAAATTACAAGACATCCAAGGATTTGAGGTGTTGAGGGAAAAATATTGAGTTACTGGGACTTTTAAATTACTTTGAGATATCTATGGCATTCGATATACATGTGTCAGTGTTTGAATTACCGAAGTTAAATTATGTAATTGCTGTCATCTTTTAAAAAGTGAGGCAGACAGGAACAAGCTGCTCCATTTTTGAAAGTTGATCCATAGTCTTCTTGTCTTTATGCTTATTACTTCATTGTGACATGTTATTCCACTTCTATCCTGTTCATGTCTATAAGCAGTTTAGAGCATAATTCAGTGTTGATTGGATGCTCATTTTATTTTCAGAAAGCTGTCAGACCTTGCCAAGAAGTTTAAATGCCAAGAATCCAGAATTATGCTCCTGGACCAGATGAATCAACCCTCATATGCTTTGGTAAGTAAAAATATTCTACAGATAAATAATGAAAAGTGACAATGCAATACACCCACCCAAACTCTATTTACAATTTTTAGTGAGTTTTAAATTTGAGTTACATCATGACATTGGTCAGAACCTTTAATGTAGGTTAAAAATTTTTCAAACAAGATAAATGCCAAGCTTACAGGCATGAAACAAGCAAAAACATTGTAAAGCAATGAATGCACAGAAAAAAAATTATATTCCTGAAATTATGAACTAGCTCAATCATCACATTAGTAACCAGATATAAATATATAGAATTGTACTATACAAAATGTTTTTAGACGGAAAGAAGGCATGTGCAAAATAACCAACAATTATGATAAAATTTCCATTGATGATGTTCATATGATTTGAAACTGTCAAGAAAATGGCAACTGACATCATACCACACAATACTGATTCATACAAATTTTAAATTTCAGAATAGTTGAAAAAATTAATGTGAAATATAAAATCGCTGACAACGTTTTAGGGTAAGTTTAAACCTTATCATTACAGTGCTTTAGAGTTGAACTCTACTGATCTGTAGCCTTTTTCAAGATTTTAGCTTAAAGCTTCTCTGCCAGTATGTGTTTTACCTTAACATGATTAAAAATGTACATGACAGAGAACATATAATCATGATGATTACATGTATCACTTTCTTGATATCTTACCTAGAAAGCAATGTTGCATACAGGCATTTCTTTTTTTAACTCATATGAGCAAAGGGCTCAAATGAAATGCTCATTTGAAGAAGAAAAAGTGCCATATCTATTCCTGTGAGCACTGTACATGTACATATGTATCTTATTTCCTATGTAGCTTGTATCACGAGCTTTGATTGATTACAAAGTCGGGTGTAAATATCCGTGCACCCGACTTGAGCCGGGTGTAAATAAAACCTGCCGTCACAATGCATACATTCTCTATGATAAAAACCAAATAACATGACGTCATCTGTATTGTAGTGTTGTAACCGATAGATTGAGACACACTCTGATGTTTACAAAGCATTCTTATGGGTACATGTACAAAGGAAATAAATTTGTTATCCAGGTTCAATCAAGGGTGTACAGGGATTTACCCCAGGTTTTATTCCATACACCCTGAGGCTGAAGGGTGTATGGAATACAACCCCGGGGTAAATCCCCGTACACCCTTGATTGAACCTGGATAGCTAATATTATAGCCTCGTTATATTTTAATACTCCAAATGAACTGCATATGGGGATTGTGTCTTTGAACTGCTTTGGTAAAAAGCATTATCATGTGTAATTTGAGGCAGACTACTGACAAACAATTTGATGTTACAGGACTTTTTTACAATCTTGTTTAAACCAGCATTTTGCAAATTTGTGGTCACAGTATGGACCTTATTTGCAATGATTAAAATCTGTTGTTCCTACCCATTTTATAATAATATCTTTAGCATGGCGGCTAATGTGGCATGTCTTCTGAAAACTAGTGTTTGTAAATCATTTGAGCTTAAAGCTGAGTGAGCTTTTCTGATCACTCCTTGTCTGTCTACTGTCTGTCTCTAAGCTTTTCACATTTTCAGCCTATTCCCAATAACTACTGGGCCGATTTTAACTAAAGTTGGTACAAAACATTCTTGAGATAGGATGACTTTATTTATGTTTAAATGATGGGGTCAAACCCCTTTCAAAGAGAAGATAATTAACAAAAATAGTGTTGGGTAATTGAAAAAACCCTTCTTCTAAAGATCCACTCAGCCAGAAACGCTAAAACGCTGGTAGTGCCACAATAGAAAATCAAATTTATACATTGAAACGCAAAGGAAAAACTTTAAAAAATCTTTCTCTTAAGAACCACTATAGGCTAGAAAAGCTGAAACTTATTTGAAAGCTTCCTGAGGTAGTGAAGAAATCACAGCCACAATCAAAATATTACAAGGGGGAAATTCGATGAATAGGAGCAGAACTAAGTGACTCAGGCGTCTCGTCATACCGGTATGTTTGGAACATATAGATTGTCATATGTTTGAAACACAGGGAACATGTCTTTAAAATATTGTACATTTATTATACGAGATATCGTATCATATTATATGAGATATATCGTATCATATTATACGAGACATACCGTATCATATTATACAAGACACATCATATCATATTATATGAGACATATCGTTGCAAGCCACGAATGCTATTCCCACAAAGTTGTTTGTTGAAAAAGTTTGGATACAAAAACTTGTGCACATGACAATGACGAAATGATATAACAGACTTTAATGAAAATATCTGGAGTTATTTTAATAATCCAAGGGCTTATAGTGTTACCCTATTCTGCCATTACGTCATCATTGACTTCCCTTTCATTATCTTGCCAACAGTTGCACGTTGCAGTTGTAGTCATCTCATAAATTTGACGTATGAACAGCATAGACTAATAAGACATACGCAGGTCAGGCTCGGATTTGGTCGTGGTCCGATGATTATTAACAACCAGTCTCTCTTAAACTTGGAGAAATAAGAATTTTTCCGTTTCCTCTTACTTTTAGATTGATGTATGTAAAAGGTTGAAATTGCATATGCAGGTATTTTTCCAGAAAATATATTATACAGCCCAAGTTCGTCAAAAAATTTCAATATTAGCATTTGAAATTTTGGCTGCCTGCGTGGGGCATTCGTGGTGTTTCGACACTCTAGTTAAAACATACATGCATTAAACAGTCTTTGCAGTTTTGAACAACAAAATTGATAGTTTTTGAATGAGTTTTTTTAGCTCACCTTAGCCGAAGGCTCAAGTGAGCTTTCCTGATCACATTTTGTCCGTTGTCCGTCCGTCCGTCTGTCTGTCTGTCTGTCTGTCTGTCTACTGTCCGTCTGTCTGTCCGTCTGTAAACTTTTTACATTTTCGACTTCTTCTCAAGAACCACTGGGCCAATTTTGACCAACCTTGATACAAAGCATCCTTGGGTAAAAGAGAATTTAAATTGTTAAAATGAAGGGCCAAGTCTCCTCACAAGGGGAGATAATCAAGAAAAGACAAAAATAGGGTGGGGTCATTAAAAAATCCTCTTCTCAAGAACCACTGGGCCAGAAAAGCTGAAACTTATGGTGAAGCATCCTGGGCTAGTGTAGATTCTAAATTGTTCAAATCATGACCCCCGGGGATAGGGCGGGGCCACAATGGGGAATCAAATAGAAATTTTTGTTTTACATAGAAATATATAGGAAAATCTTTGAAAATCTTCTACTCAAGAACCACTGGGCCAGAAAAGCTGAAACTTATGTGGAAGCATCCTGAGGTAGTGTAGATTCTAAATTGTTCCAATCATGACCCCCGGGGGTAGGGCGGGCCACAATGGGGAATCAAAATTTTACATAGTAATATATAGGAAAAATCTTTGAAAATCTTCTCCTCAAGAACCACTGTGCCAGAAAAGCTGAAACTTACATGGAAGCATCCTGGGGTAGTGCAAATTCTAAATTGTTAAAATCATGACCCCTGGGGGTTGGGCGGGGTCACAATGGGAAATCAAAGTTTTACATAGCAATATATAGGAAAAATCTTTGAAAATCTCTACTCAAGAACCACTGGGCCAGAAAAGCTGAAACTTATGTTGAAGCATCCCGGGGTAGTGTGAATTCTAAATTGTACAAATCATGACCCCCGGGGATTGGGCGGGGCCACAGTGGGGAATCAAAGTTTTACATAGAAATATATAGGAAAAATCTTTGAAAATTTTCTTCTCAAGAACCACTGTGCCAGAAAAGTTGAGACTTATGGGGAAGCATCCTGGGGTAGTGTAGATTCTAAATTGTTCTAATCATGACCCCCGGGGGTTGGGCGGGGCCACAATGGGGAATCAAAGTTTTACAATGTTGAATCAAAGCATCCTATGGTAGCGTAGATTTCAAATTGTCTAAATTATGATCAGTTGGGTAGGGTGGGGTCATAATATGTATTACAAGGGGGAAATCTGTTAAAGAACGGAATGGTCAAAGCTTCTCAGGTGAGCGATGTGGCCCATGGGCCTCTTGTTTAAATTACCTGTAAAGCACACAATATTTTAGCAGCTTTACGCGTCCACCGAGTCGATTTGCTGCAGCAAAAGGAGTTGTCTTTCTTTGTCAATGAAACTGATCAAGATGTAGTTGATTCGACACGCGTATCCTTGAAATATATATTAGATCTGTTCGAAGGCCGAACATTTTCGTATATATTTAGTATATACATGAACCAATTGTTTGAAAATTTACACAAGAACAAAATCTAAGGCTATTTTGAAGAAACCATTAAAATTATTAATGAGTACTTTCAAATGAAAATGTCAAAAATTTAAGAACGAAGGCGTGTAAGTCGAGAACAACCTCCCGCTCTTAGAGAAGGCATTTTTCAAATCGAAAAATTTGATGAAAAGATATATTTTAAAAAAAAACTGATCTAGAACAACAGCGACAAAGGGACTCATTTGAGCATTGTGGTCCATGGGCCTCTTGTTAATTGTCTTTTTTCTCTTTTCAATAAACCACAGGTACTTGTGGACAGGACCCCCCCCCCCCCCCCCCCCACCCCGATATTCAACCCCGGGGCTTATTGGACATATTGGGTCCTGTCCACAAGTACCTGTGCAATAAACCTGACCGAAATGTCATATCGACATATACTTGCATACTGTACATGTAAGTGCAAGTGCCTATCTTTTGCATTCATTTGCTACCAACGGAGTCAAACTTGACCCTTAGAACCAGGGACTGCACTTATTTCTTCATACTGGTTATTATTTTTCGATCTACTTGTGTGTCGTGAATATCTGCGTTCTATATAGAGTATCTTCACTATTGTTGCTAATTTATAAACCATTAAATTCGCCTCTGCACAAAATACCTGCATATCCTAATATAGATTTTGTGTCAAGCAAACTAATGTATTTATTGAGTGCGTGTATATTTTCAGTGTATCGCGACACTAAAAAGTAGAGATGCAGATATAATCTTGTCATTAACTGATACCGCCAAGATCAAGGATGAATTGTTTCATCAAGTTATCTATAGACCCTTCGTACTGTATCGTCATTGAAGGGTCGTCGCTTCCTTGTCCTCGTCTGAATTCTCCAGAGTCTTTTTCTATTGGTTGCTTTTCTCACTTCCTGGATTTGCCATTATCAACAGTTTATCAATACTGAAGTCTTGGTTATCAAACGTTTCACGTACTTTGACTTAAACATGTGAAAGTAGTTCCATTCACGCGTTTTATTTATTTAAAAAAAATCATAAAACATGCAGGTCAATTTTATGTGATATCTCTGAATCTGAATTTAAGGTCAATAAAATGCAAATAAAAACATAGATAAATAAATAAAAAGACTTGACAGATTTCAAATTTGCAAGAACACACAAAATGGCTTTATTTATTTTTAATGTGTAAGAAATTGAAAATTACATACAGTGGAGCCCAAAAGATGGTTATATTTTCTGAACATAGATATTGTTTCCATTTTTAAGTACAACGAAGGACACTAACCTACGAATTTCCAATCGATTTGTCTGCATTCAGTAATGTGCATATAATGCTATGATCTGTATTTTGAAAAGACCAACCTTAGGCATTGCTTTTTTAGTTTATTTATCTTTAAACCGAATTCTACGCATGAAAAATTGCACGTACGTGTAATCCTATACGATAGAAAAGTTAAGAATATTTTTCATTATTTACTTATAAAGGATACATATTTATCTTTTCTGTCTGTCGAATGTTAACCTTTGCGTTTCTTAAATGGCTATCAGATTTTGACCTTTTTACATTAGCAAAATTTTATTCGACACTTCCTCATTTTTTAAAATACGATTTAAATAGTTCCGGTTCTCTAAACCCCAGCAGTCTGTACACAGCGCATTAACACTCGAACGTGCTTTATGTTTTCAGTTCAAAGAAATGGGTGTGATGAAACATTTTCAGAGAAGGGTTGCGGAGCGGATAGTAAATTCAACGTAGTACCGGATATGACATCAGAACGAATGTCGTCTGGTCTATATGACTACACCAATGAGCCGCGCCACTCGTCTCCTGCCAGTTCCGGCAGCTTTACCTCCGGGGAGGGGCTTTCCGGACGGGAGGAGGGATATGACTTCGAGTTCATCATCAGGGACGAAAAATACGACTGTCCAATTTGCCTCCTTGTTCTTCGAGAGCCGCAACAAACGACGTGTGGGCATCGGTTCTGCAAGAATTGCATTAACAAGTGGCTGAAGTGAGTAGCTTTTTACATGTTTTTTTTTTTAAATAATTTTCTGGAAAAAATTTTTCTTCTCAAATATTGTAAAGCATATTGTAAATTTGACAATATTTATCGCACACGATCGCTGTGCATTGCAGGCTGCAAGGACAAAAGAAAATCATTAAATTTTATGCATTAAGATAATTTAGTAAGGACTTTGTCTTTCAGTTATAAATACTTGAGTTACTTTATGTTCACGCTGAATTTATATGTTGGAAAGTACTTAAAGGAAAGAAGCGAATCAAATATATGTCAAAAAATTCTAAATGCTATCGGAAACCGTATATTTCCTCACCATAAATAAGTATTAAGCTATTAACTGCATTTTTTTTAAATATCCATAGAAATAAGGAAAAGAGAATTATCTGCATTTAGTGGACAAATTGATATTTTTAGCAATCTGTTCCTTTATAAATTTGATTGGATACCCGACACACGGAAGTAAATTTGGAGAATTCAGGTGTACTGCAGATTGTTTGACTCCAGTCTAAAAATAGAGAGAAAAATATGAATGGATCTTTTTAAAAGGACTTAACAATTACTGATACCCGATCTGTGGAACTTTTGTTTAAAATTCTAACCCATAAACAAATTTAAATGTTATAAATATCAGGAAGTCTCGCATTCCTTCTTCTTTCTTGTAAGAAATGCTGACGTATTTGACATTAAAAAAATGAAAATAACATGTATTCAATTGTACGATTCATAAAATTTGATATTATAGAGAGAATGCGTTTTATCCTTTGAGTTGCAATTGAAAGCAGCAAAGCTGCAGGGTTAAATCATTAAAAAAAAAACGTATGTCGTTCAAAGACTATGGAAAGTTCATTTTCATTTTTAAAAAAATGGAAAATAAATATTTACGCAATTTTTACGGGAGTCCTAGAGTTAATGTTCTTTGTACGTTATTTTTTCCCAGAGAGTCTGATCAAAGATGTCCCATTGATAACATGCCTATAACGGAGTCTCAGCTGTTTCCAGATAACTTCGCCAAGAGGGAAATCCTCAGTCTTAGTGTCAAATGTCCCAATAACAAAGAGGGCTGTCAAGTGATAGAGACTTTAAAAAATGTCCAGGTATTAAATGCTTAATACGTATAAAACAGGAATGCATTTTTAATATTAATTTTATTAACCGTTAAAATACGGTGATTTTTAATGGGTTATTGCATTAAATTAATATTTGCAGAAACATCTTGATGAATGTGAATATGTTCCCATACCTTGCCCAAACAAATGCAGCCACATTCTATTGCGTAAAGACATTCAAGAACATTTGGCTCATATCTGTCATAAAAGAACCATTCTATGTAAGCAGTGTAAATCTGAAGTATTAGCGGAAGTTATTCAGGTATGTTTTGCTCAAGATACATATCTTTATGGAATCTTTTTTTATTTTTGTTCAAGTGACTTTATTGTATTTCTCTTACACAATTTTTTGCGCAGTTTAGGTTTAAAAAGGAAATACATGTATAGCGTATTTGCACCCTTATCGAAATAATTTTTATCATCAGAAAATAAAAAAAATTAGTGTTTTGCACGCACACATACGAAAAATAAATTTCACATCGATAATTACATAATGTGTTATTGAAAAATAACGTTACATGTATATTTTGGTATTATGAGACTCTATATACTAGTAATGTGATAATGTTTCTGAGAATAAGATTTTCTGTTGTGAAACTTTCAGGAACACATGGATGAGTTATGTCCTCTTGCTATGGTCAAATGTCCGTATTGTGCTACAGAATTAATGAGAGAACAGGTAGAAAGAATTTTCTTGTATTTTAACTTCTAATTTCCTTTCATTCAAATAAAGCATAAATTATTATTTGATTTTTTGTGTGTATGATGTTACGTTTGTTTATTTTGCAGCTTCAACGTCATTTTGATCATGATTGTATGCGAAAATCCATAGACTGTGTATATTCAAAACTAGGTTGTAACATTGGAAAGGTGAGTACTAGTAATATTACTGCTTTACTGTTAACTGATTACACTAATTACTATTAAATGCTGAAAGAAATGTAATTGTTACATACTAGTATGTTAGAAGCAGAGTGAAATGAAAATCAAAGTATTTCCATTAATTTGCTGATATATATATTTTTTGTGTAGATTCCTAGAAGTGAAATGGGAAAGCATTTACAGGAAAACTTGCATCAACATATGCAGCTAATGTGTCAAGCCCTGACTCTGATCTACAGACGTTTAAACATTCAGTCACTGACCCAGGCATCGCAGAGTCAGTCTCTACCTGATCGTACAGAAAGTATCAGCAGCATGGACAGAAGAATGTTAGAGGACATTGGGAACGGATTGAGCGGTGCAGTTAATATGCTACAACTTTCTGATAATCCTGCATTCAGTACACCTCAGGCGGGACCCCATTCTCTAGACAGCTTCCGAGCTCCGGATGTGAATACTAGTAACCGAAACTTGCGCGCTTTGTCCCAGGGAAGTGGTGAGGATAGGTTTGGAAGTGAAAGAACACAAATTGACACGGAGCTCACATATACCTCAAATCCCTCCAATAATTTGGAGGGCTTCCCCCGAGTCCCCTTTGATGATGAATTCCAGTCGCTAAAATGTCAAAACATATCTCAAGACGAGAGTTTAGCGAGACATGAATTCTTGTTGTTAGATATGAAACATACAGCAGAGGCATATGAAAAGAATAATGCAGTGTTAGTTAAAAAAGTTAGAAGTTTAGAAAACGCCATTAATGAATTTGAAGGACGAAATTGTAACGGAGTTTACTTTTGGAGGATTAAAAATTATTCCAAGTTCCGAAGCGAAGCCGAATTAGGGGAGGTTACAGCTATTCATAGTCCTGCATTTTATTCTAATTGCTTTGGATATAAAATATGTATTCGAGCTAATTTAAACGGTGTAGACTCCGCCCGGGGAACGCACTTGTCAATATTCGTACACTTTATGCAAGGAGAATTTGACGATATTCTTGAGTGGCCCTTCAGTGGGCGGATCATGTTGAGCGTTCTTGATCAAAATCCTACGTGTGAATTACGCTCACACGTCGTGGAAACTCTTGTAGCCAAACCTACCTTGGCGGCTTTTCAGCGGCCGACAACTCCTCGTAACCATAAAGGCTTCGGATATATGGAATTCCTCCCTCTTAGTGTTTTGGATAATTCTACCTATATAAGGAACGATACATTGATTATAAAGGCTCACATTGTCCCCTCATAGCCTATCCAATGATTTTAAAAATATTTTTTTTAACAAATTGTGTGTTCGAATACAATATACAGATTTACCCGGTAGTATTATGTGACATAGTGTGATATTTAAGCTTGTGAGTGACGTCTATCTCACTATTTAAAACAATATGTCTGCCTGATTAAATATATCTGTATTTTTATTAACAAAAGTTCCTGTACAATAAAGTATTGAACATTCCTTTCTTTAAATCTTTTGAGGATTATTGTCTGCATTTGATGTTAAGGACAGACGAGACGTTCCTCAATAATAGATAAATTTTTCTAAGAGTTTGTCATTGAAGTGTTGCTACTGAAACATGTTTACTCACAAAAAATTGAACCTCTTTCTGCAAGATTTAGTTTTTCTTATATAATCCTTTGGGGAAGAAAAATAATTTTCCAATTTCAAATGTTTAAGTGTTTGGATTTTTTTTAAAAACGTCTAGAAACTGGTTTAGAAATCAGAATTTTATGAAAATTTAGAATATTTTTCATACATTACGAAGATATACAAAATAGATTTTGAGGAACGTCTCGTCTGACCTTAACTAAGTTTTTTTTTTATTGAACTCGATAATTTTGTTATTTTCTTTCTTACATTACTGATTTAGATATAGGATGGTTAGGGCTATTCATCATGTTCATGAAGGTTGGATATGATAAATTTAAATTTGAACTGAGATATTCACAGAAGTTAACAAGCAATGGAATGAAAAATTGTTGTGTGTTGCAGTAATATCAAGGTTATAAATCACAATTAATTTTAAAGTCAAAAGTTTAAACTTAAGGTCAAAAGACCTTAAAAATGAATTGCGTATTTTAAAAATAGGTAACCAAAGAAAAAATAACAGATGGAATTGTCCTTTAAATCCAGCATTTGTAGTCTAGACTTAGATGTATAATCATCGCAAGTTTGCTCTATGAAGGGCTTTAAAGAAGATGGGTGAACATGACAAGCGAAAAATTTTACAGTGTGACAAACATGAAAGGTGAAAAAAAATTAATCTCAATTTATGTATCATAATTTTCCTAGCTGCAGATCTGTAGCGTTATGGTTTTAATACATGCATTTGTCTTTGACCATAACGCTACATATCACGTAATGCAAAAAGGTGCAATATTTTTTCGCACTTTTGGGGAGAATTTCTCCACTTTCTAGCATTGGTCAATCAATAAAAAAATATTGCACCGTAAATTGCACCTTTTTTGCATTACGGGATCTGTAGCGTTATGGTGAAAGATAAATATATAAAACCATAACGCTACAGATCTGCAGCTATAATTTTCCTAGATATTTCATCTAAAATTAAGATATGTATTACGCTTTGTAAAATCTTAAAAACTTTACAATTGACAAACATCCATCAAAGATTGAAATTATTTGTCTATGAAATATTATACACGCTGAAGAAGGCAAAAAGAGTTATATACTATAACACTATTTTTCGATATGAGTCTGTCTTCGTTCTATTTTTTAGAAAGTTAATCCTAAAAGAATGCATTAAAAATTTACATTTTTGGTCAACCCCCCCCCCCCCCCCCCCAAAAAAAAAAAAAAACTAAAATGATTAAAGACCCACTTTACCTTAAAAATAAACTTACACGACATTTTAAAGTATTCGCATCTTTTCGAGAAAAAATTCGCCCATCTTAATTAAACTAGAATGAACCTATTTTAAAACCTTCAAATTGGTCTAATTCATAAATATAGGTCATATTCAGCATCTGAAGCAAGTCTGGTAGTATGCATATTTCGATGAAATAATAAAAAAGAAATGAAAAGTTGTTAAAGTATGCATACTGTATATAAATCATCTGAAAAATATGTAGCCTGGATTTAAAATTAAATATACATTTATTATTTGAAAAAAAAATGCAGCGCTATTTTTGTAAAATTTAAATTTTGAGATATAGCTAGATGTTGAAAAAAAAACATTGTTTTCACATCTATATAGTAAAGAGAGTTGTCTTGCTGTGTTTGGTCACTGCATGTACATGTTCTTAACAGAAAGAAGACGTGGACAATTTGTGCATAGTTATTAAACGCAATGAGCAAGCGAAAGTTTCCACACAAACCTTTGCAGTTGCTTTATCTTAATTTATTTTAATTTTTTAAAGGAATATATATATATATTTAAGGAATAATTATTCTTAAAAATATTTGATCCCGACAATTTACTCAGTCAAAATTTTGATTTATTATCATGGTAATACGGGGTTATCTGGACTGAAATATATAAACGAGGATTGACTGGTAAAATTGTGGATCGACAAGCATTTTTAGGTCACCTGAGGCACTCAGGTGACCTATTGCTATCTGTTTTCGTCCGTCGTCGTCCGTCGTACGTCGTTCGTCGTCAATCGGTCGTAAACTTTTGAACATTTTCAGCTTCTCTGGAACGGCTGAGCCAATTTCAACCAAATTTGGTATACAGCATCTATGGGTGAAGGGGAACAAAAATTGTGAAATTCATGGCCCCTGCCCCCCTTGGGCCTGAGGGGTGGGGTCAAAACCACCAAAATAATGCAATCTTTAAAAATCCTCTTCTTTACTCCTGGTCATCTAGCAGTCAAACTGTTGGCATGATGATAATCAGCATTGAGTCCTCTACCAAAATTGTGAAATTCATGGCCCCAGGGTCAGGGGTTCTGGGGTTAGGGTGGGGCTATATAGATCATATAGTAAAAGTGCATTATTTCTTTGAAAATCTTCTTCTCTGCTCCTGGGTATTAAATAAACTAACTAAGTATATAGTTATGATAAGCAAGAATGCCTCTTTCAAAATTGTGAATTTTATGGCCCCTGGGCAGGGGTTCTGCCTCTGGTGTTAGGGCGGGGCTCTATTGATTATTTAGTGAAAATACATTAATTCTTTGAAAATCTTCTTCTCTGCTCCTGGGTGTTAAATAAACTAACTAAATATATAGTTATGATGAGCAAGAATGCCTCTTTCAAAATTGTGAATTTTATGGCCCCTGGGCAGGGGTTCTGCCTCTGGTGTTAGGGCGGGGCTCTATTGATTATATAATGAAAAGACATTAGTTCTTTGAAAATCTTCTTCTCTGCTCCTGGGTATTAAGTAAACTAACTAAGTATATAGTAATGATGAGCAAGAAAGCCTTTTTCAAAATTGTGAATTTTATGGCCCCTGGGCGAGGGAATCTGGTGTTAGGGCGGGGCTCTATTGATTACATAGTGAAAATACATTAATTCTTTAATATATCTGTATTTTTATTAACAAAAGTTCCTGTACAATAAAGTATTGAACATTCCTTTCTTTAAATCTTTTGAGGATTATTGTCTGCATTTGATGTTAACTAAGTTTTTTTTTATTGAACTCGATAATTTTATTATTTTCTTTCTTACATTACTGATTTAGATATAGGATGGTTAGGGCTATTCATCATGTTCATGAAGGTTGGATATGATAAATTTAAATTTGAACTGAGATATTCACAGAAGTTAACAAGCAATGGAATGAAAATTTGTTGTGTGTTGCAGTAATATCAAGGTTATAAATCACAATTAATTTTAAAGTCAAAAGTTTAAACTTAAGGTCAAAAGACCTTAAAAATGAATTGCGTATTTTAAAAATAGGTAACCAAAGAAAAAATAACAGATGGAATTGTCCTTTAAATCCAGCATTTGTAGTCTAGACTTAGATGTATAATCATCGCAAGTTTGCTCTATGAAGGGCTTTAAAGAAGATGGGTGAACATGACAAGCGAAAAATTTTACAGTGTGACAAACATGAAAGGTGAAAAAAAATTAATCTCAATTTATGTATCATAATTTTCCTAGCTGCAGATCTGTAGCGTTATGGTTTTAAATATTTGTCTTTGACCATAACGCTACAGATCCCTTAATGCAAAAAGGTGCAATTTTCGGCGCAATATGTTTGCGCACTTTTGGGGAGAATTTCTCCACTTTCTAGCATTGGTCAATCAATAAAAAAATATTGCGCCGTAAATTGCACCTTTTTTGCATTACGGGATCTGTAGCGTTATGGTGAAAGACAAATATATAAAACCATAACGCTACAGATCTGCAGCTATAATTTTCCTAGATATTTCATCTAAAATTAAGATATGCATTACGCTTTGTAAAATCTTAAAAACTTTACAATTGACAAAGAAAGCCTTTTTCAAAATTGTGAATTTTATGGCCCCTGGGCGAGGGAATCTGGTGTTAGGGCGGGGCTCTATTGATTACATAGTGAAAATACATTAATTCTTTGAAAATCTTCTTCTCTGCTCCTGGGTATTAAATAAACTAACTAAGCACATAATTATAATGAACAAGAATACCTCTTCCAAAATTTTGAATTTTATGGCCCCAGGGTCAGGGGTTCTGGTGTTAGGGCGGGCCTTTATTGATTATATAGTGAAAATACATTAATTCTTTGAAAATCTTCTTCTCTGCTCCTTGGTATTAAATAAACTAACTAAGTATATAGTTATGATGACCAAGAATGCCTCTTTCAAAATTTTGAATTTTATGGCCCCAGGGTCAGGGGTTCTGGTGTTAGGGCGGGGCTCTATTGATCATAGTGAAAATACGTTAAATCTAAGTGTATATATATAGTTATGATGAGTAATGGTTCCTTTTTCAAAATTTTGAATGCCATGGTGTCTAGTTTAAACATGTTAAATCATGAACCAAACTTAATCATTGAAAAGTTGTTGCATGATGCTCAGGTGACCTATAAGGCCCACGGGCCTCTTGTTATCAATTAATGAGCACACTAAGTTGAACGTTGAAAGAAATTTTCAGCTTAGTGCGCTCTTGTCTACAATTTTACCGGACAACATTTCGTATGGTTCAGATAATTATAGGTTAAAATTCAAGTGATAATGTACATTTGATGCGTAGGTTAAATGCAGAACTTTGCATGTATATGCAGACACATGTAAGTGTATGTGCTTTTAAAATTTATTGTCGTAAACAAGCAGACATTTTCTGTTCGACAATAACCGTAAGGTATCTTGCACGAAAAAAAAAAACAAATTAGTAAAAGTCACTAGGAAGTAAAGGACAAGGTATGGTAGCAGCTGAATCTGGCCCATTATTTGGTGTTAAAATCAAAATACAATTAAAACTGAGATAGTTTGTAGTTAAGAACTTAAAATGGTGCTTGTTTTAAAAAACAGATTTAATTTTTATTCAAAGCTTACACGGAGACCACAAGAAGGCGCAGA